GCGACGCCCCAGGCGCGTCGTCCTAGCACTTCCACTGCTGTTGGCAGCGGTGGGACAACCGCAAGCTGCCCGCCCTGTGCACAAGATCAGGGAGGTGGTAGCACCTCCGGCCAGAACCGGGACAAACTGCTCTGGGCCAGCCTCCCCCAAGCTGGCGTCCTCCAGAGGGTTTGGAGGACGTTTCCTGGTAGCCCTGATCATTAGGGCAGCCGAGCGTGATGGGAGTTGAAGTCCAAAATATCTGGAAGGAACCAGATTAGAGGAGGCTGCTTTGAATGGTTGGGGATCTTTTCAGTTTGGTCTTAAATACACTTGGGAATGGGACGCTAATCTTGAACTGTGCCACACCCTTCAAGTGCCGGGAATGTTTGGGCTGCCCCATTACTGAAACAGGGTCCTTCCCCAGTTTGCAATTTCTCCCCATAATCACAGCTATCTAGGGTACGTCTGTGCAGGAAGGTGGTTTTGGACAAATCTGGGGCGGTGTTCCCGATTCAGACGTTCCAGGGCTAAGCCGTCACATTCAGCCCCGTCTGGAAGCCCAGCGAGTGGCCCTTCGCCCGGGAATGAGGCTGCTGGCCCCCCGCCCTCGCCTCGCCTCGGCTGTGCCATCAAAATCCTGGGCCTCCCCTAATGCTGGGTCGGAGGAAAATCAGGGACGAGAAGCACCCTCAGGCGCTGCCCCCAGCAATCTGAATAGGTCACCAGGCTCCCTGCCCCATGCTTGCAGCAGTAGCACGGCTCCTCCCCGCGGCGAGGAAGTGAGCGGGTGGCCACAAGCCGTGCTCACAGTCCAGCCAGCCAGCCCTCCTTGCTTCCTACAGGCTGGGCACCCGTTCTGCCTGCACTGCGCCCACTCGGCCCACTCCCACGCCCGCCTCAGGCCGGAGGCCCCCCACGTTCCTCCTCTTCCTCGACTGCATGGCAGCTCGGGCGCCAGCTGCCCTTGTCCCTGGAGTTCAGCGAGCGCCTCCTGCTGGCCCTGTTCGAGCACAGCTGCGCATCGCTACGGCACATTCCTGTGCAACAGTGAGGAGGAGCGGGGAGGCATGGGGCAGGCAGAGCACGGGGCCTGGCCACGAGGGCGTGCAGATGCCCCCAGCCCCACTGCCAGACCCTCGCCCAGGAACCAGGAGCAGAGCTTGCTGCTCCCAAAGCCGCGCTCTGCTCCTGACCTCTGGTCTGCCCAGATGGAGGGCGCGCCATTACTTTCAGACGTTCAAAGATTCCGAGCGCATGATGAGCCGGCGCGACTCTCCCACTGCTACTGGCTCTCCTAAGTTACACCCTAAAGTGTAAGCCACTCCTAATTTAGGCCAAGATATTAAAATTAAGTACAAAATGTGCTGGGGTCTTGCAGCCGATGAGGACCATGTCCAGTTAAAGAATCAGCCTTGGAAGGTGATACGCATCCCAGTTTTCCAAGGAAATGTTGCAGTGACTTGTTTAGAAAGAGTAGTAAGCCAGAATTCTGGAGAATCCTGGTTTGCCTATCATGCATGGCGGCACCTGGGCCTGGTTCCTTTCAGTAGGAGTAGCTAACCTAAACGAGAAATGAAGGCTTTCTAAGTCATCCAGACTGGGCCTCCCAGCTTGCCAGTCCCACACAAGCCTGGCTCTGTAAATCAAGAACAAGCCCTGGTCTGAGGGACACAGCAAGCCAGAAGCTCCAGCTCAGATGATGCATTAACCTGTCAGTTCCTGGTTGGTTTCTCTGCTCCACCAGCAGGACCACGAGGCTGCCTGCCAGGTCGCCCAGAATTCTGCCTGTCACATATGAGAGCAAGCAGTGAGTGCAAAAGCCCCATTACCCTTCCATGAGGAGATATTCTGATCACTGCTGTCCCATAAGAGGAAGCCACAAAGAGACAGGCACCCGGTTGCATTTGCTTGTGTTACCCCCCCCCCACCCCGCATGCTGCCTGGGGGAGGGTTCCCTTCTCTTTCTCTTCTCTGAATTCCCCGTGCTCTTCCCCGAGTCATCGTAGTGCAGCCCACCTCAGGCTGGGGCTTGTGAGTGGCCCTGGCTTGGCCCCAATCCCCTCCACGCTCACCACCGAAGCTCACTCTTGGAGGGAGTGAGGCCAACACGCACCTGTGGCATTGCGCCCTTAGGCCTGGCAGGAGGTGGCAGCACCCCTGAAGCGTCTCGTTGTGCCAGGGCCCAGAGCCAACCCCAACTGCATGGGCTTTCCCAGTCCCTCCTCACCGGGGAGACTTGCACTGACACTTCCATTGCACACGGAGGGTCTGCGCTATCCTGCCGCTGATGCCAAATGGGCTATTCCGTCTGCAGAAAAGCCATTCGAAGCTGGGGGCGGTCGCCCGTGCAAGAGGACAGTCTGCAGTGCGACTGGCAGGGCCGGGTACAGCTCCCATGGGGCAGGAGCAGTTCGGGGGGCAGCCAGATCATTCTTCAGCCAAGCCCAGGGTGGACTTTGCTGTTCTACCTCACAGGGTGGATGTAGTGGACCAGGCATTGCGGGGGCGGGGGCTCCACCATGCACAAACTGCAGGCTTAATTCAGTGGGTGCAGCAGCCAGGCATTCAGTGTTCAGGACATGGGGAGGCACCATCCCTTCACTGCGATGGAGCCATTGGTCGTTTTCCTGCGGATTTCAAAATAAGCACTGCACTTTGGGGGTGGATTGCCCTGGGCTGACCCTGAATGGTGCGGGGATCAGTCCCTCCCCATGAAGGACTCAATTGCCACTGGCTCCCCCTGCAGGAAGCTCTGCAAAGGGAGGAGAGGACTCGCTCGCTCTGGCCCTGGCTCAACAACATGGGGCCCGAGTGCTTGAATCCGCTGAATGCGCACAACCCCTTGGTCATCTGTCCCTCGGTGGCACCTGCTTCTCTGGCAAGGTATGTGAGCCCCCCCACTTCCCTGTGCCATCCCCAGACTGCGGGCAGAAGCATCCTCTCCTAAGCCTCATGTCGATCCAGTCCTGATTTATTAAGTCCACATTGCACCAGTGGGAATTCCAAAGTTTTGTGCAACTTTTAATATTCCACAGAAGCTGAGGGTTTTCTGGGCGTTGGGAGCAGTAGTAGGAGCTGGGGCACGATGTTCTTTATGTCTGGAAAGCTTTACCGTGAATTTGCAAAACTTCCGACTAGAACCTAAACTTTCCCTAAATTGTTAGGAGGAAATTGTCCCATTAGTTTCCCTTACATGTGTTTAGGAAGGAAATTCAAGATAAACGCCACTTGTCTTAGCCCCAGCGCTTCAGAATAGCACTATTTTGAATTCTCTTATGGCAGATTAAAGGGCTCGCTTCTGCTTAACTCTGCATAAGGGAGTACCCTAAAACAAGTTGTCAGACTGAGGATTTCACATTATTGTAAAGGTGCAAGTGTGTTGGACTCCATACTCCACTGTGTACATAGCAGATACCCAAATACAGCTCTGGCATCCCTGTCTTATCCTTGGTTTACCTGTAGCGCTTACCTGGATACTCCTCCAGGATCTGTGAGGCTGGGATCAGCAGGCAATACCTCTGTGGCCCAAGCCAACCGTAAGAATGTGGAATGGGGAAGAGGTCTAGGACTAGTACTTGTTCATCCTCTTTAGCAGCTGATGGGAAGATGCTTCTCTTATGGTCATTTCCCACAGGTTTATTCCTCCGCTGGGTACGTCCATCTCACTATCTCGATGAAGCGTGGGCAGAAATGCAGCAAATAGCAAGACACAGGAAAGTCCAGACAGAATGACAAAGTAGGAAAATGTCAAAGCCAACAGCAGCACAAGCATTTGCAGAAGCCAAAGCCTGCATCACCCTTGAGTCAAAGTTAGCCAAGGACTGATCCCTTGCATACCTGAAGATACCAAGAAGACTCCTGCTTGGGCTGGTCTGAAATTGCATTATGAACTGGGTGTGTATGAATATTTGGGAGAGGCAGAGGGATGGTGGCGGGGGAGTGTGAGCAAGAGATGCATAGATGGGGACAATTCCCACTGGTACAGACCCAGCCTCTGAATTAAAATATATTTTCATACAAAAAGTCAGAATTTTGTGTGGTCCAGAGTTTTAGCTTTAAAAGCATCTGAAACTATGGGCATTTTAAATTCCACAATATTGTGACTGGCTGAAAGTGTCATATACCATTGCTACATCAAGGCCAGTCTTGTCCATTTCGGCTAGAAGCACCTCTCAAAGGGTCTCGGGGGGAATGATCGCCCCAGCCTGCCGAAGATGCCGGGCCTGAACTGGGATCTCCTGCATGGTCCTGTGTGAGGAGGCAGGGGGCTTACCCTGGGGCCTTCCACAGAGCAGGGCCGAAGATGACAGGGCAAGGCTGGGAATCTGTGTGGGGAGAGCAACTCGCGAGAAGACCGCAGCCAGGAGACACGGGCGAGCGCACAGCTGTACAGGATTGCGGACGGAGGCAGGAACAGCTGGGCTGGGTGGAGTGGTGCAGGGGAGGGGGAGAGAGGAGGAGGGGGGGTGAGCAAAGGGACGGAAGGGAGGCGAGACAGCGGAGACACACGTGTGGAGAGCGGGCAAGGCGGTCGCTGGCCGGCGAGCCAGCACCAATGGAGAGCGGAGACTGGGGAGCATTCTGGATTCTGGCGGGGCAATGCCGTTTGTTGCCCTAGCGGCAGGAGGGAAGGGAGCCAGAGCAGGCCGGGCCAAGGCGCTGCGGGAAGCGAGCTGGTGACAGTGTAAGAGGCAAGAAAGACCCGGTGAGCCTTCTGGTGTTGCTCTTCATGGAAAATCAAGGAAGAGGCAGCTTTCGCCGGCACCCCTCTCCTGACAGTCACATCCTGGCATGCTCTACTCTTGAGCTTCTGCCCGGCCACTGGGGTCAGTCAGTCCAACGGCAAGGCAACTTGCACCCCGGGTTCTGGAACTTTAATAAGCCATGTTTCCACAACTCTAAAGCTGAACTCTGGGGCTCAAATATGCTATCCACGCTAAGGAACGCTGCATGAAAATAGTCATGCGTAAAAGAAAAATGGCATTACACAGCTACCAAATTCACACACAGACTCCTAATGTGGTTTGAAACGAAAATGAGCGTTTATTATTTCTTTCCATATTACTTTATAAATATTCCAAAAGGGCAGGAAGTGGGCATTCTTGAGAGCAGACAAGCAGCTGAACCTCCCACTGCTTTTCCCGAAGAGAGAAATGGCGGCAGCGCAGGCGGCCTCTGCTTCTTTCCCATAAGCCTCACTCAGAAACAAGCGGGGCTGCCGGCACTGCTGGGAACGCAAAACTGGAAACGTGGAGAAACAAACCAGTTCAAACTTCAAACTCGAACTCAAAGTACTGGGGGTCAAAATAGTGGATACGAACATAGCCGTCCTCGCCGCCGCTACTATAACTGGAAACATTAAAAGACAAAACATTTGCTGAACCGCCCAGGGTGCTGGGATCCCAGCACACATCGCCCACTGAGCAACCAGAGGTGGGAGTGTTGAAGCCCTCCTTACCTCTTTCCATCGGGGTGGAAGGCAACACTGTTAATAGGGCCAAAGTGGCCCTTCACTCTCCCGAACTCTTCCTCGATGCCCAAGTGAAAGAACCTGGAGCCGCGGTAAGGAGAGGGGGCGAGACGGCCATTATAAGACAAGCGTAACGCAGGCAAGCGTTTCCGCACAACTTCCCGAGTAGCAACCATCCTTGGATTCCCTGGGAGCTGAGCAGGAGGCTGCGCCACCCCCCCGGAGCAATGGAACATGGCCACACTGGCTCACCTGGCCTCAAACTTGCCGATCCGGGTGGACGTGGTTGTCACATCCATGGCTTCCTGGCCCCCACCCAGCACCACCTGTCGAAGAGGAAAAGTGAGAGGCCCTGCAGGGCGTTTTCATGCCCGGCCGCCCCAACCCGTATGAAGCCAGGCGGGGCTGGGAAACGGGCTGTGTGCACAGCAGCCTCTGTGCAGGGGCCAACCTCTCACCTCGCATGATCTACCACAAGAACATCTTTTGGGGCTACTGGGAGACGATGCGGTTCGAGTCATGGGGGGGGGGCCCGTGGAAAAGGGAATACAAAGGAAATCCCCCCCCCCATCAACATACATGATCAAAGATGGGAGAAAGTGCTGCAGAGTTCACTGGCCGCTCAGTCCGGAACGTTTTCAGGTGATCAAGATTCGTGGAGTCAAACAGCTGCAAAAGAAGCGACGCTTTCAGTGCTTTGCTCCAACAAACGGAAGGCCAGAGGTCTCTGCAGAAACTGAACGTCCAAGAGCTTGCGCTGCAGATGCCTCACCATCCAATTCAATCAGCTCAGCACAGGAGACAAATAATTAGCTGCACTGCCACTGCCAACCCACCCTCTGGAGAAGGCAGCTTTCAACCTTTTCAACCGCCAAGCTGCAGTGGCATTTTAAGCCTGACGTTGCTCCTTCTGCAACCTGGTCGAGAGCGGGGAACACACCTTGGCCGTGTTGTCCTTAGAGGCGGTGATGAACATGGTCATGTCTCGGGAGGTCTGGATGTCATTGATCTGCTTGGTGTGCTCCTTGATGTTGATGAGCAGCTCGCCCGACTGGGAGATGAGAAAAAGGTGAGGGAAACAGAGTGCCCCCGGGCCACACCAAAGGAAAACACATCCAAGTGCCCCACTCACACCAAAAGAGCATGTGCTGAATGTTCAAAGCATTTCATTACATCACCACCACAACCCGGGAAGGGAGGGCTGACGGTCCCTGAGGCGGCCACCTTGCCGCCACTGAGGGCTGGTCAGTGTCCGGATGGGAGGTCAGCTGCGACTCTCGTGCATGTTGCACTGATGCCAAATGTGGGATACCAACACAATCAATCATAAACTGAATTGCCCGAATTCTCGTCCTCAAGATACACCACAAGGAGAGCTCAGCTGAGAGAACAGCAGCGCACTTCAGGCAAAGAGAGGTGAACCAGCTCATGCTTTAAGCCACCATGGCTGCCACAGCATCACCCTGCAGTGGATAAGGAAAGGCAAGCAGGAAGCACCACTGCAGAGAAAGAAATGGAAGAAATGGCTGGCGCAGAAGGCAATTAGGTTCCATTGATATGAATGTGCTTTGGACAGAATTCTTCCTCATGGTACCTCTGAAATGGCAACTGACAACCTGATTGGCAAGGATACCATGGGGGCATCCAAACCCTTTTTGGTGAAGGAATTGGGCTGGCAAACAGAATCTATACTTTGGATCAGTTCCAAGGATTGGTGGAGGATTTATTTATTTCCATTTTCCGTATCACAGGTTAGCGCTCACTTGTCATCTAGAGCTGCGTGGCAGTAGGTTCAATGGCCACACCGTGTGGAGTCTACACATGGCATGCTTCCACGTGCCCTATTCCGTCAGAGAAATCTGCTGGTTCTGCACAGGAATCTATGCCTACAACAGCTGTGCTGAAAGGTCTTCTGGGATGCAACAGAGATGCTCAGCATGCCAGGCAGGAATGGATTGGGGAGTTAGACTCATCTATAGCGCCCAACTGTTGGAAAGTGGGGCAGTCCATGCACTGTTAACATATTCCTGTGATGCACAGCAAGAACACCAAGAACTCCTGGAGTTGCAAAGAGACACACATTTCAAGACCAGAAGGATGAGGGCCCATCGGTCGGTGGCCTGAGGAAGTTGGTGCTCTTGCTACATTTCAACAAACACCCTGCAGCTGTCAACTTCATCTGGGCGCTTGTTTAGACAGACGGCTTATATTAACATAGGTAGTTGAAGGAAAAGTGGCAACCCCCCTTCCTCCCTATTAATGGTGTTGTAAACGAGTACCGTAAGGCTAACCGTCACTCTCTTCTTGTCTGCTTTCTTTTTTCTTTCTATCTTCCCCTCCAGGCCCTGCCTTCTCTCTCCTTTCTGCTATAACTGAAAATAAAAGTGGGCGGGAAGTGGGACCACAGCCCTGCTGGGAGTGCGGTTCACCCCCAAGGCCGGGAGGCTGACTGACCTTGGGCAGCCTCACTCTACCTTCCCAGCAGACCTGCTGGCTCCAGTGGCTGTGCAAGGCCAGACACGAGGCCTGCAACACGCGCTGGGGGGAAAGCAAGCCACAGAAATGTGGCCTGGCGGTGGCAGAGGTTTGCCGTTCGGCATCTGCAGCAGCGCCAGGAGCCGCACTGACCTTTGCACTGAACTGGTTCAGCTCCCCGTTCTCATGCCCTGCGATGATGAACTCCCCGAGGGGACCCCAAACAGCGCTGGTGATCTTGGAGTCATTGCAGGGGATCTTCATGTACGGCTCATTGTCTTCTACAGCCCGAGGCAGAAACACAGGAACATTTCAGAAAGGCCCATCCAGCCAAGAGGTAGCTGCCCATCCCATCCCATCCCATCCCACCCCACCCCATCCCATCCCATCCCAACACTTTCTGCCCCAGAGGCCTCACCAATCTGGCTGGGGTCACGGAGGTCAAAGAAGCTCACAAAACACTGGTAGCCCATTTGCTTGTCCGTTGAAAACATGATGATGTTGCCCCCGAAGTCAAAGCCACATGTTCGCACAGCGGAGTTGGTCTTGACCAGAGCAAGCTGCTTCCCTAGGCAAAGCACACGCACACGGATCCAGCGCAGGCAGGCTGCTGTGTGGCGAGACACCTCTGCACAGGCCTCTCCAAGTGGCTCTCCAGCAGCAGCAGAGGGATACCTTTCCTGCCCTGCTGCTGGAGCTTCTCTGAGCCAGACTGAAGAGCAGGGGCCAAAGCCACGGAGCCGTGGGCCTCTCACATCATCAGAGAACTGCCTCAAGACTGGGAGCTCGCGCCTGTGCGTGTTCTCAGGAATGCTCAACTGAGCTCAAAAGGGACCGCTTGTCAAGCAAGCCTCGGGCTCCTTGGGAATGCTTCTCGGCAGAACAGCCCCTGTACTGTACACAGTCAATCAGGTTGCGAAGCAAATGGAGGGACAGCCGATGCAAACTATGTTGGACAAATAGCAGGACAGTACGAGGCACAAATCACGATTTCTAGAAATCCGCCTGCCTGCCAGCCAAGTTCTGCACTTCATGGAGCTGTAAGGTGCAAGACCCAACACAAGGATCATGATGGACATCAGCTGCCTGGACGGGGCACTATCTGAGATTCTAGACACCTCTCCAAATTCCTCAGGGGAAGGATGAGGCACGTGTGCAGCAATGCTATCTTCTGAAAAGCATCGCAACCAAGTCGCAAACCTCCTGGTAGGAGACACAGTTACAATACGGTGTTTTCGAGAAGCATCAAGGGGGGAGTCAGTGCCCCTCCACACATGCTCCAGCTCTTGTGCTCCAAGTCCCCACCATCCCCGAGACCCGTTTCCAAGCTCTACCTGTCTCACAGTCCCACAGGCGGCAGCTGTTGTCCGCAGACCCAGTCAGCACATGCCTCGTGTCCCCTGAAGGAGCAGTCAAGGAACCTGAGCGGATGGTGTCAGTGGAGGTACGTGCAGGCTATGGCGTGGCTGAAAGACCCAGGCGGAACTCGTCTCGAAGCACGGCAGCCACACACCCGGGCCTGCTGTGGTGTGCCTGGACAAGCTATGAACATCCGTCCATGAATCTGAGTTCAGCTGGGGGTGTGGCGGGTTTAAATAAAATACCTTCTTACAAACAGCTAGACATTCTGCAGGGCTAATCATACCATCTGCTTGTTAGCTTGGTTTAAAGTGCTTGTAGCCCCTCATAACTTTAGTCAACATGTTGTGACTGCAAAAAATGCTAATGTTATATTGGGCTGCATTAACATAAGTATAGCTTCCGCATCTGGTGAGGTCCTGGTTCCCCTCGATTCAGATCGATCTATCTATCTATCTATCTATCTATCTATAAAATTTGTATGCCGTCCAATTACTTGAGTCTCATTTTGAGTACTGTTTCCAGTTCTGGGCACCACACTTCAAGAAAGATGTGAACAAACTGGAAATGGTTCAGAGGAGGGCAGCACAAATGATCAAGGAACTAACTGGAAACAAAGCCCTGTAAGTGGAACTGAAAGAGCTGGGGATGCTTAGCCTTGAGCAGAGGCAACTGAGGGAGATATGACAGCACTCTTCGAGTACCTGAAGGGTTGTCATGAAGGAGGCCAGGATCTCTTCTCCATCATCCCAGAGTGCAAGATATGGAGCGACAGGCTCAAGTTACAGGAAACTAGGTTCCAGCTGGACATGAGGAGAAATGCCCTGCTTGTTAGAGCAGTACAGTCATGGAAACAACGGCCTAGGGAGGTCCTGGGATTCAAGAGCAGCTGGAGAGCCCTCTGTCAGGGATGCTTAACTTGGGATCCTGCACTGAGCAGGAAGCTGGACTTGATAGCCTTACAGGCCCTTCCAATTGTACTCTTCCCTGCTTCTGTGATCTATGATTTCTTGCTGATACAGGTGGCCAGCCTGCTAGAATCCGCAAAGAGGGTAAATTAGTTGAAAGCAGCATCTGCATTAAAGTATGGATCAGCCACTACCTAAGGAACTACCCTCATCATTTGCAAAGTCTGATAGCATTAAAAGTTAAGAGTATCTCTGTGTTATCTTGGGAAACACTTTGCATTAGTTTCTCAAACCAAAGGATACAGTCAGCATCCACACACCAGACTGCACCAGTGTGTCCATTGTACGTGCCGAGTCTCTCCCCATTGACAGAGTACCAAACATTAACAATCTGGTAAAAGAAACATCAACAAATTAGGCCAAGTTACTAAAACACAGGCAGAAGACAAAAGCAAGAGCATAACCATGATCCTCTGGCTGATCTGGGGCTGTGTCGACAGTTCAAATCCGCAGATGGAGTGAGCTCCCATACTCTGTCCCAGTTCCTGCCAACCTTGCAGTTCGAAAGCATACAAGTGCAAGTAAATAAAAATTTACCACTTCGGTGGGCAGGTAACAGTGTTCTGTGCACTTCGGTGTTTAGTCATGCTGGTCACATGACCACGGAAACTGCCTGCGGACAAACACTGGCTCCCTCGACTAGGAAACGGAGATGAGCACCACCCCCAAGAGTCAGACATGACTGGACTTTAATGTCATGGGGAAATCTTTACCTTTACTGAATGTTTAACAGCCAAGATAAACCAATCTGGAATGCATAATATGCTGGGACAAATTAAAAACAAGCAAGATCTCACTGAACTTCAGATGAAGGGGAAGCATTGGAATTATTGGTTAACTAGAGACCAGAAATACATTTTCAATTAAATAAGTCTTTACTTTGGTGAACATTTTGCTGCAACAAACCAAAATCCAGATAAAAATGTTTCTTAAAGTTTTTTAAAAGAACTTAAAATGAGTACAATAATTTTAAAGCAATTTACTTGTTTTGAAATCTCAAACAGAACAGCATATACACTGTTCCATCAATGCACGTAAACCCAAGCAATTTTCTAACAGCAACAGAAATAACTCTGAAGTGGCAGCTAAATCAAAGGCACCATATCTTTCCTTAAATGCCTTCAGATATGGGCATTTCTAAATACCACAAGAAAGGTGGCTTTGCAGGCCACATCAACCAAAGTCTAGGAGAATCCTTATCTCTTGTAAAGAGAAGGCTCTGATTAAGCCCTGGTAAGATGTTAGGAGGTCTGGAAAGGGAGCAAGGCTCATTGAGATGTAGAGACTTCAGGCCATGAACAGCCTAACAGGTCAAACACCAGCATCTTAAACCAAATGTCTAGCTGCTGTAGCACAGGTGGATATCTTAGCACTCCCCTCCACCTATAACAAGCGACCTTCTATAGTAGCAGACACTTCTGAACCTCTTTCAGGCCAGCCACATGAACAGTGCATCGCACCAATTCACCCTCAAGTCACAAAAACATGAACCAAGGTGGCTAGGTCTCTATTTTCCTGGAAGGCAAAGGAGGCAGGTGAAAAACTGGCTCAAAGGATGCAACTGACCAAAGGTACTCCCACCTATAACCTATACCCACTTTTTTCCTGTTTTTCCCTTCAGTTCCTTACTTATTTTATAAAGAAAGTGAGGAGGTGCTCCTTAGGACTGAAAGGAGAAATGTGCAGAAAAGGATAAAAATACAAGACAAACGTACTGGGTCTTTGGCTACGGTAAACAAGAGATCGCCTTCCCTGTTATATTTGATCTGAGTAATCGACCTCTCGTGGCCTTGCAACAGGATAGGTTTCTGCAAAGAAACACATATTTTAGAAGATTACACATTATTTAATCATTGAGGTGACAGTTACATGAACACATAATTATAATCAACTTACTCTGCAAGATCAGGAGATTCATTTCTCTACAGCAAGTTAATTTCAATATGACAAGCATAAGGAGGGACAGATATTGTTATTTTCCATGGTATTGCAAGCCCCCTGCCATGCCTGCCAGTCCTAGCAGAGGCAGTAGGCAGAGTGCTACATTTACTAGATCTACTGAGCAAGGGAGATGACTCAATGTAGGTACTAAGAATTTCTGAGAGACATCTGCCTATGTTCGGGCATTGGTGGGGAGGAATATGAACTCCAGAAAAGACAACTTGGGTTTAGAGTGTGGCAGTTTCCAAATGAGGAAATCAAACCTGGGCGTGAATGTGGAGAGAAGAGACAATCCAGATTTATGGAACAGAGTGGGAACTAGTACATGTCTTGTCAGACTTTTAAAAGGTGAGAAATCCTTGGTGCACATTCATAATGCAATTCAATGCATGTTTACTCACTGGGATTTACTCCCAATAATAATAAATGTGATTAGGATGTGATGAGTTTTTATTCTTATTTTAGATCTTCCATGTTTTATAGTTATTACATTATACATCATTCTAATTCACACACAAGTTTGTGTGTTAGGATTGGCCCCTAAGGATTGCATGGCAGCCAAGTAGGATCATAATAAGCTCTTTCATTCTGTTGTTCTTAAGTGCTACTTAAACCCCCTCCCCAAACTCCCAGTTTTGGCTCATCTTATTTTCTTAGCTGTTTTAGCTCTGCTGATGTAATTATTCTTTTGTCTCAAAACACCCGATAAAGGCCTTGCTAAGTATTTTTTTAACTAATGGAATCTTACTGAAATCTGATTTCAGTGTTTGAACCCAAAAGTGAAAAACTGCACGCAGCCCAGTGTCTAAACAAACAAGGTCGCCACTCTTCTTAGGATGTTTCTTACAGTTGCTACTCTATGAACTCTTTTACGCAGGAGTAAGCTTCTTTGAACTCAGTGGGCTTTATTTATTTGATTTGTTTAAAAGCCACCCATTAGCTTCATGCTCTTGTTTACTTCTGAGTAGACAAGTATGGTGCACTGGTTAAGAGCGCGGGTCTGGACTCAGGCGACCCGGGTTCTAGTCTCCGCTCGGCCAGGGAGCCAACTGGGTGACTTTGGGCCAGGTCCAGCCTCAGCCCAGCCTGCCTCATAGAGTTGTTATTGCGGGGATAAGACTAAGAGGAGGAGGAGAATAATGTCAGCTGCTTTGATTTAAGCCTAATAAATAAATAAATAAATAAGCACTGATACACATATATTCTCACACACAAAAGCGTGCGTATATATATATGCACTCATACCTACGACAGGTACATAGACAGACAGAGATTTCGAGTGAAGAGAGACTGCCCCAGGCGGGGAGGGACTCACCATGGCCGCGAGAAAACGAGCCGACGGCCAACGACGGCAGCCGCGTTACCACGAGCAAAAGAAGGAGGCTCCTCTTCCGGGAACAGACCGGAAAGAGGCGATGCACCATAGAGTCAGGAAAGGGGAGAACGGATCCACTTCCGGTTCCGTCCGAAAGCGACATTGAAGCGGCGAGCTGCGAGGCTAGAGCGGCGCATCACTCCGGCTCGCAGAGGCGAAGGCGCGGAAGGGCGCGCTGGGCTTCCGGGGTGCCGGCCCGAGTCGCCGCCATGGCGTCGCTGGGTGAGGGTGCTGTTCGTGGCGCTTCAGGATGCGGGCGGGATGTGTGCAGGCCTCCGAGCCGCGGCCCTGGGCGCGCTTGCGCGTGAGCAAGGCGGCCGAGCCGTCAGCGCCGGCCGCCTCCCCTCGGGAGTTGCCCTGATAGTTCCCAAGACCAGATCGGGTCTGCATAAGTGTTTGGCCCTCACCCTAGCAGAATTCTCAGGGAGGGAGGGAGTGGTCCCCCCACCGCTGCTTCTTTTTGGGAAGCAGTACAGCTAAAGCAGCTAAGAAAATAAAGTGGACCAGAGTAGGGGGTTTTTGGAGGGGGGGGGGGAGAGCGGGAGTTAAGCCAACCCTTAAAAGCAGAAGGAAATAGCTTAGTGTGAAGCTATCTGACTGGCATGCAGTCAAAAGGGGCCAGTGCATATGATAAATGTAAAGCATTGAAGATGCTGACACTTCCATCTTTCAGAGTACCCCAGTTGCCGCTGTGAAAAAAAATCTTCAGAACAATTCCTGTACTTATTTGAGGATTGTGTTGTTACAGGTGAAATTGGTGCTTTGATCTTGGTGGCAGCTCTTTGGGGAGGAACCAATCCATTTCTGAAAAGGGGAACAGAGGGTCTAGAGCAAGTGAGGAGAAAGAGCCAACCCATACAGCTACTTGCAGAAATGAAATTTCTTTGTCTCAATTACAAGGTATTTGACACTTTCCCAAGTCCTCTTGGGTAGCGTCTTCCAGATTGAAGATTGTCCAAGGCTTTGGTTGTCTTTTGAGTAAATTCTGTTGTACTCAGTGGGATTTCCTTCCAAGTAAATGTGTACAATTAAATTTGACTTGGGTTGTTTTATAGAACTTGTGTTCCTTCACTTTTAGAAATCAGCACCACAATCAGCCAGGCATTTTGAATATTCCTGTTTGTTTAAAAAGTCTTGCCTAGCAAATGAAGACCCAGCAGTAACAAAAATCTAGCACATCAACTGGCTGTAGTCAAACTCACTCCTCAGGTGGTATTTGAAAATTGATAAAAGGATGAGGAGAACCAGCAGAGCTGCACTCTCCTGACCTAGTGCGGGTCATTAGCGCAGCGATCCTAAACCTGGGTTGGAAACCAGAGTGAAGTGAGCCCAGATATGTAGTGTCATTCAGCAACCTTGAATCTGTCCAGCCACTGCACGTGCGCGCGCACGCACACACACTTTGGTCAGAATTATTGCTTGTTTAGAGTATTCAGATACCACCTTGCATAAAATCAGTCCAGGGCAATGTACAGCACATTTTAAAACACACTATCAGGGCCAGATCATGTCCCCTGAGTAGATTCATACAGGAGCAGATTCTTAATATACCCAGGCACAAAGGGACATAAAGTTGAAACCAGCACCATGAAATAGGCCCAGAAACAAATTAGCAACCAGTAAAAATCTTTCAGAACTGGATTTGTAATGATCCATCCCAGTTAAAATTTTGGTCAGTACACTTCAAACCAGTGGTATCTTTCAGGCAAGGATAGCCCCATATGTATTGCATTATAGTTGTCTAATGAAGGGCATATCCACAATTGGTCAGTAGTTGTTTTCGTATCTCATTATACTGTATAATCCCAGGTGTGGCAGTGAGCCTGGAGGTCTGATCATATGATTCTCTGCTCTTCTCTCCTTGCAGTATGTGGTGCCATTTGCGCTCAACCAATGTGGCTCACTTGTCTACTATCTTACTTTAGCATCTGCAGGTTAGTTCTGGGGGATTTGGGGAGGAAATGGAGAGACTTCTAGCCTTGAGGAATGTGACTCACTCAAGTATCTATAGCAAACAGAAAAGAGTGAAAAGGTTGGATTCTGCAACAATATGGCTGGGGTGGGAACTGCTGAGACTGTTAACCTTTACTGAACATCTTCATTTAAAAAAAGATTAATATTATAGCTAGATGGGCTTGATACATCAACACAGGGTAGATGTGATAACTAAGAGGCTGAACTATGACTTGGGAAAACTACAGTTCCAATCTTGTCTCCTCCATAAACTCAAGAGTTGACCCTAGGCAAACTACTCTATCTCCTCCTTGTTAATTGGTTCTGAGCTACTTTACAGGGATGTTGTAAGGACTGCAAAATGATAATGTTATGTGAAGTGCTTGTAACAGTTCTGAACACTATGTAAGTGCGAACTATTCAGGCAAACCCTGATAGGATGAGAGTTGTTGAAATGGATGGCTCTAAACCAAGGCCAAATGGTTTAGAGCAGATCCTGAATGTCTGAGTAATCTTGGGTGTTGCAAAAGGGCCTGAGAGTGCAGCAGTTCTGAAAGCTAAGAAATTACTTCCTCATGCCTAGTTTTTCCACCTACAGAGCTCAGAAACAAGGTGGCTTGGGTTCATGTCCCTTGGAATGAACTAAGAAAGTTTAGCTCATTCCAGGGTCAGAGCAATCACTGCTTCTGTGAATGAGAAGATGTTTCCACCAGGTGACCAGGTGTGTGGTCTACAGATGCAACAGAAAAATGGCAGGTGTGGGATGTCATTTTTCAGTGTTGCCATGTGTCAGAATTCCTTGCAGCAGGAGAAGCAGTGAAATGACCAGCAGAATTGGCCAGTCACTTGCCTTGATGGTGGGGGGGGGGGGGTACTGCGGGGGGGGGCCTTTTTTTTTTTTTTTGAATAGAGCAGCATTTGAAATCAGCGTTCCCCCACCCCAGTCTGAGACACTAGTCCACCCAGCTCCTGGGCATTCTGATATCTTGTTCAGCTGCTATAGACGTGTTTGTCTCACTTGCCTGGGTCTGGTGGGAGGTGTCTTTGATGCCAAGGCATCGATTCTGTTTGATTCAGTCGGATGATTCAACCTTCCTTTTCAGACCTGACCTTGGCCGTGCCTTTTTGCAACTCTCTGGCTCTGATGTTCACATTAGCAACAGGAAAAGTTCTCGGAGAAGCCATTGGTGGTGCAAGTAGGTCTCATTTCCTGGTCTGATGCAAACAAAGTCCTGTCCAGCTGCGTCTGTGGCTGTTAGAATTCTCCAGAGGGGAATGTGCTCATGAAATGTCATGTGCTCCTCTCCCCCTCTTGAAATGAATGGCAACTATGAGCGGTTTCTGGCATTGGGCTTATTTCCTCCTCCTCCTCTTTTTCCTAGGGGCTGCACTGGGGATGGTTCTGACAGCTTTAGGAGTTGCTCTCTGCATTGCTGGGTCCGGACATGGGAAACCATGAAGAGCCTCTCGGAAGAGAAGGGGAAGATGAGTCAAAGGCCACGAGTTATCTGACGCTGGCACAGCTCTCAAGGCCCGTGCCATGTTGTGCCGGGACCTGTTGGACGCCACACATGCTTAGTGATGTTAAGGATGGATGAAAAAGCACCTCCTTCAGGGCCGGCTTGCAGAGGGTCCCGAATTTGTGCTGGGGTGCTCCAGTCAGGCAGTGGCCAGCAAATCCTTGGGGTTTGTGAGGCTGCCTTCAAACCAGCAATGAGGTCAGGAATGTCCAATTAGTGCAGAAGTTCAAAGTGCTCTGGAGAGTAATTTGATATAGAACACATCCAGAAAGTTGCTAGCATGCAACAAAAAGCTGTGAGGTTTGGCAACAGAACAAAGAGGAGAAATGAAGGCGCACACTCTGTTCCAGAAGGAAAACATAGCTGGTCCTGGCCTTTTAAAATCCCAGTCAGCCTAGGACTTGCTTATCTGAAACATCTCCTGTCCCCATTATGAATCTCTCCCAGTCCTAACATCTGGTTTGGAGGCAGCCCATTGCTAGGTAAGATCAGTTTTGTGGGTAGCAGGAATATCCATAGTTCCTCAGCTGTGGAGCTGTTACCAACAGTTCAGAGAGGCCCGTTTCTTCCACAAAGCTTTCTTTGAATCGGTCTGTCTGGCCCAGTTCGCACATAATGAGCTGCAAGGGGGAATGCTGACTCCCATACCTTACATAAAATTATTGGAAAAACAGGATGGGTGTAAGTGCACTTAAATAATGCATTTGAGGATGTGCAAAATACCTTTTCCCCACCACTGTGCAAGCCAGCCCGTGTCACTCCCAAGTATATGGAAGGTGAGGGCTTGGCTTTCCTGCAGTTCTCCGCCCCAGCTCTCCACAGGACGGATCATGGAGGGCCGTGCTTGAACCTGAGGTTGGCTGTACTTGTTGCACTTCATGAGACGACAGCCTTGTCTCCTCTGGGGGAAGCTCTTCCTCTGTCATAGATGAACTTCTGAAAGGGTAATTAGTTGCACACAAGTGGAGCCTACAACAAAACATGACCAGGTGACATCCTTCTATTCACGGTCTCCTCTTCCCTGAATTGTTTTCTCAGTATTCTGTGGTCAGGGAACATGCCTAGTCTTCACTCAGCTCTTTTGAAGTCCCCCCAGCATAGGATTTCCCCTAAAAGTCTTTGTATTTCTGCAAACCTTTGGATTGTCCTTTTTCCACCTCCATGTGTGTGCAAGGGTCAATGCAACCCTCACAGAACTTAAACTGCTGTTACTTGCCTTATTTTGCCTATTATTTTGTATGTCTGCATGTGTATATGTTTGTGTGTTATTCTTAAACTTCCAAGCAATAATTGTCAGCCCATGGTCACCTTGAGAAATTGTGGTCTTGCCTTGTTTCTCTCTTTAAACTCCCAGCAGAACTAACTTCTGGGAGTGTCAGGTATGCATTTCAAAGCAGAACATTTGGTTTTTACAAATTTATTTTAATATCAATAATGGCTCTAAATAAAGATTCAGAAACTCCCCACTGGAAGAGACTTGCAGTGACTCTGTTTTACCATAGTCACTTGTCAGATTCAGTAATTTCTTCAAGTCAAATGAACACGGTGTGCTTCCTCCCCTGAGTCACCAGCAGAATACTGAATGGGACAGGCCTTCTGGAGCTTGTCAGGGGTCTCAACCTTTTTTTGCACATAGAATTTTAAAAAAGAAAAAGATGAAGTTTGTGTTGGCTTAAAAATGTTTAAGTAAACATTGAGAAATCCTCAGGAGAAAGACTGAACTGGGATACAGCTGCTGCTACAACTTGTTCTATCTTGGAAGAAGATAAATGCAGATAACAGATAAATTGTTGGTGCTGAATTCAGTTAATTCCACCTTAGTTAAGCTAAATTGACCTTAAATCACATACAGACTGTTTTGTCAGGGATGTTACACACGACATCATGCTTCAATGATACGATTAATTACCTTTCTCTGTGGCAATATTTTAGTTTTGGGCATAACTTCCTCTTGCACAGTCTCTGCAGCTCTCTGGAATGGGGAAAAGGGGGCAGAGCTGAGGTGCATCAGGACAATCACCCTATGAAGAAGAGTTTCTCCTAGAAAAGCCCTATAACCCTAGGCATACTTGGAAGTATGTCTTCTTGGTTTGCTTTTGGTAAGGTATCTATAGGAGTGCCCCGTAAGTTAACCATACAGTCAGCTGCTTTGGAGAATAGTGGCCTAAAAAGTTCGCTTGTTTGGGAAAGACGCTCTGGTGTGATACCATGGAGCAGTAGCCCCTCCCATTTCAAATGTTATACCAGGAGACAGACCACCTGGCTGCTGTGTCTTTCCACTTTGAGGCTGTTTCTGGAGCATGCCCCAATGTCTTTGAAGTCACTGGAGTGGCTCCTGCTAGGTCAGGAGAGCGAATCACAACAAGGGCTTATATAAAAATCGGGCAACTTCCAAACACATTTTGAGGGTAAAGTCTTGCTGCCAAAGTCTGTCTGAAGGTACTTTCAATCACCCCTTGGAATTGTATTTGGTGACAGAGGGCCTGTTTACAAAGATCTTCACCTGAGAGAGGTCCTCATACCTGGTCTATGGGAAGCTCCACTTGTGTGTCTTCATCTTCCCCTATTTCCTGGGCATCTGCCATTTCTTCCCTTGCACCTTTGGTTCTATAAACACTTCCCTGTTCTGAAGGGAAAAGGAGGTGCATGAGCATTCCAGAGATCATGGCAAAAGAAAATGGAATTGTCCCAGCCGGTCAAGCTGCTGCTGGACATTCAGCCCTGCCTCGATATGTCACCCTCCAGCCAGGAAGTCTTCATATCTGGGAAGTTGGGTGGGAGGAGGCAGCAGAAAACAGGGACTTGAATCCTTAACATGAGAAGCATCCTCCCATTTCAATAAAGCATTGCTGCTGAGCATGAAATCATATTTAAGAAAGTTTCTAAGTATGGAACTGTAATCTCGTGTGCATAATGAACTGATAGGATCACAACCCCAAAGGTGGTTAAGGCCACAGGCTAGCATAAGATAGTGTTAAGATGAATTCATGGAAGAATGCTCCTAATAGAACCTTCATGTCCAGATGCAGTCCATCTGTAGACTACGAGATGCTGGAATGGCCTTCATATGCTGTCCGTGAGTCTTCCTGGGACATGGCTGGTTATTTTGGAAATGCAGTGCTTGCCTAGTGGAATCTTGTCCAATTGAGCAAGAGCCCTTGAAATGTGTATTGGAATTGATACTACCCAAGACAGCTTGATTTGAATGAGGGAAGCAAGAATCTGAACTGCTATTGGTCAAAGCCACCTCCAACTTCCTTATGAAAATCAGGTCTCACCCGTGAGATACCTGTTTATGACAAAGGGGTAGAAAAGATCAAGCCTGTCCACCCAAAGACTTCCCCAGAACTACACAGCTCACCACCACCCGTCACACCCTCTAGTGTTGTCATGATGGATCAGATTGCTCAGAATTCTTTGCAGCCCTTTTTCCATTACCTTGTGCAGACATCTGGGGAGAGTTCTGGTTAACGTGTGGAGCCTGGTCTTGCTTGGCATGAAAGATGGATGCCTTCTCATCTTTTGGTCGATATTTCATAATTTGTTTGTGCACCACCACAGAAGAATTTGGGATATCTTGGGCCTGTACAATTCCTGTGGACTGCACCCTCCGAGGATTCAGCTGCAAGTTCCATCCAAGAAAAAAGCGTAAGGATCCATTCAGATACAGTCTGAGACAATCTCATCCCCCTGGACGGGACAAGGAGCAGGTGTGCTGCCTTGTGGCGGAAGACAGCACTGCTCACGTGCTTTTGAAAATTAACATTTTCCTGTTTGCTTTGTCATTTTAGTATATGCATGAATCTACTAAACTTCTATTCTTTTGGCAATAAAACAAGTAACAGAAGCCCAACTGATTTTTCTCAGGAGGTCTGATTGTTACTGCTAACAATCAAATCGTATTCCATCTTTCTTTCTTCCGGATTTTGTCCTGGGAAGAAAAAAGGCAGGAGGCCTACAAATGGAAGACAACAGCATCAGAAGGCCCCATGAAATCCCATGAGCTGGCTCTGCATGCTGGAAGCCATACCTGGAAGCACTCCTGGTTCTGGCTACTAAAGGTCAGGTCGCTTCCCACACCGCCTCTTACCCCCTTTTATAAGCATACCCTTGACCGATGCTCTCCCTAGAGAAGCCAAGCAGAGTTCACCTACCCCACAACTGTAGTTCCTCCTCTCACCGGGAAGATTCCTAGAAGCACAGAAGCAGCAGAGATGTGGCTAGGGACTCCCCCGACCCCAGCTCTCAAGGGGCCACTCTCTGAACAAGATGCATTGCCCACACTGGATGGGGCGGGGGGGGGGCAAGTACAGGGAGCCTGGGTGACTCTAGCCAGGGCCAGTGCCCAGGGCAGCCCAGCTGGCACCTGGCAAGGGTAGCCAACCCCAGCAGGGGCCACCCGCAGCATCGCCCAGGACCTGCAGCCCGCCTGCTCCCGGCCACCAGTTCTCACCCAGGCAAGAGTGGTGGTGAGGAAGAGGAGCAGATGACCATGGGGGTGGGAGTGGGGATTCACTGAGGGCGGGCCCCTGGAGAGGGTGCTGCACCTCGCCCAGGACCCCTCAAAAACTCACAGCCGGCACCACTTCAGTCGCCTACCGATATGGCCGAAGGGCTCTCTTTGGGGGCCCCAACAGTTCGAAGTAGGGCAAGCTTTTGTATTTCTCCAGCCCCACGGCTACGTAGTAGTCGCCGCTGACCAGGTCCTCCCCGCTGCAGACAGCGCTGCCGTTCAGTTTGCAAAGCCTAGCCGAGAGCCAAGCAACAGGGGAACAGTTTTAGCGTGAGACTGGTGGGGAAGCGAGGTTCCAGCTGCACTCCTGTATGGACTCAGCCTGTTGAATCCTGTGGGCCTCCGTCTGAGAAAGTGCGCATAGGATCTCACCAGGGCTTCCAGACAAGGTTGTTTCTCATGTTACCACCCTGCCTGATTCACAGCATTTTTAAATGCCCTCGAGATTTAAAGGAAACCTGAAATAAATTTCACAAAGTGCAATGCTTTTGAGGCTTCATGCAACAAAGCATTTGGCATCTTTCCCCTCTACTTAAAACACGTGCAGATATCCAGCCTTTAACTAAAAAATGTACATGTGCCCAATATACCCAATTGCAATCCTTCACAAGGAATGTTGGCAGGCCTGACATCAAATGTATTCCGCCTCTTTCCTCCCTGCTTGAAAACGGTTGTGGTGGGGGTTGAACAGAACTTAACCCTTGAAATGCTTCATTCTGTTCTGAATGTGTATGCCAGATTTCATTTCAGTATTTCAGTGTGCAAGGGAGAGATCATGCTGCAAATAAATAGAGAACAGCAAGCCTAGCATTCGATAAGGAGCACAAAAAAGTTTTGTGGTTTAAACATGCCGTTCTTTTTCCTCTGGGTATCATAGTTCTGTGATGGCAGTGAGAGATCGGAATTCACAATGCTTCTTGCCTTGCGCCTTTGAGAAAGGAACCAAGACAAACCACCATAAAATTGAGATACGTTTTCCTGCAGAAATATCCCTTTGTGTGCACATCACACGTACTAGACCATGTTCTGGTAATCCTCCATCGCCACCTCTTGTGGCATGGGGTAAAGAGCCCCCCGTATTCCTGCAACTGGCCTAGTCAGCACAGAGCCCTACTGCTCCCTTGGCCCAGGCTCCCCATGGCAGGCAGGATGCAGCCCATTCATAACACTCTGCTGGACGCCTGTTTTTCAACAGGAAGGGAGCCGGGCCAGGAAGGGCGTGGATGTGCACAGAGTCTTCTCAGGGGACTCACTTTTTGACAGCTCCGCTGTGCAGGTTTGCCTTCTCGGACAAGAGGCTTAGGATGGCGCTCCATTCCTGCAGGGCATTCTTGGTCAGGATCAGGCGGAAGGGGGGACTCAGCAAGTCCCCATTGCGGAAAACACTTTGAATGAAGAAGGAAAGCAGAGGCTGAGGTCTGCAGGCTTCACAGATGCTGGGTTCTGTAGTCTTCACAGATGCTGGGTTCTGTCTATTTCTCTTTCCAAAGAAGGCCTCAGGATTTGGGAACCTTTTCTTCAACTGTTACATTGCAATTATCCCGCCTTTTTTCCTCTTGTGAGGAACCCAAGGCAGCTTACAGAGCCCATTTTATCCTACCCTGTGAAGTAGGCCGTGCTGAAAGGGAGGGACTGGCCCAAAGTCACCCCTGCAGCTTCATGGCAAGTGGGGAGTAGAACCTGGATCTCCAGTCTACGCCACCCTCAAAAATAGTGCCTGCCAGACTGTACGCGTTAGGCAGCTAGGCTAAATGTAAGCTAACAACATCCAAAATATTTTCCCCTTTGCTCCTCTCCTTCAAATGCGTGTCAGTTCCTCTTCTTAAATCAAAGCATCCTTTCTCCATCAAATGATAACCAAAGCATCTCCATTTTCATTTTTTTTTTTTTTGAAGCAGTAAGTCCCCACTGCTCAGCAACAAATAAAACGTGTGTGTGCTGAATTTTGCTTGCCTTTGCTTAAGGTTTAAAGTCATTTCTGTAACTGTTCCAAGGACATAGTTCAGAAAGACTGGCAACAAATGACACGAGGTGATTCTCTGGGGCTGTCGGGAGATTTCCTGGATGAAGCATTTTCAGGTACTAGTGAAACATCACAACTGCTTTTCCCAAGAGGACATCTTCCAGATGTGTTTGGCTACCACTGGTTTTGATCCAACACATCTGGAAGATACCAGGCTGGAGAAAGGTAGTGCCACAGATCGGCTCCTGGAAGCACGTATTGGAGATGAGCAGGTGGCTGCCTTCAGCCATTCTCCTGCTGTGTTTCTGACCTTGAAGGCCCCACCATATTTGATTATCTATTTTTTGATCGGGTAAAACATTTACAACCTGTCCATACTAACAGCCTCAAGATGACATTACAAGAAGCAGCACAAATAAATAGAATATAAATATATAATAAAAGCCAATCATTAGAGCAACATTAAACGTTAAAATAGCAGGAAAATAAAAAGGGTTTGGCCTGGTGCCAAACTGAACAAAGCATCAGCACCGGGTGCACCTCTCTGGGGATCAAGTTCCAAAGCCGGGGCACTATGTGGAAAAGGCCCCCCTCCAGGTAGCCACCCATCTGATCTCCTTCAAAGGGCTCCTCAAAGGAGGATCTTAGGGCTCAGGCAGGTGTACATGGAAGGAGCCACTCCATTAGTTATCCAGGCCCTAAACCATTTAGGATGTATATGTCATAGTTAATGCCCTAAATGTGGGTGCATGCTTTATATCCTTATTTATGCATTTATTTATGTATTTATTTAAAACTTTTAAAAAGTTTTATTCTATATTGTCTTAATGTTAAACTATCCCGAGACCTTTACTATGGTCTCGGGATGGTTTAACAGTAAGACAAAATAGAATAAAACACAGAATCCTCGTCAACCAATCAACATTAAAACCCATATTAAAACAGTCAAGCCTTAAAACATTGGGAAAAAAAGGGTTTTGGCCTGGCGCCCAAAAGAATGAAGTGACGGCACCGGGCGAACCTCCCTGGGGATTATGCCTTGCTGCCTGCTTCTGCTTCCCATCAGCTGTGCTGATGTCGTCTTTTGGCTCAGCATCCTGCATTTTATTCTGTCCTGCTGCTATACTTCTGTGCTGATTCAACTGTAATTGCAATTGCGGTCTTGTATAAGTTGAGTGAGCGAGTGAGTGAGCGAGTGAGCGAGTGAGTGTGTTAACTTTTGTTAACTGCCCAGAGAGCCTAGGCTATTGGGAGGAATAAAAATGAAATAAATTTCAGACACGACTGCACAACTAACAACAACATTGTTTTTGATTGTACTGTGAGCTGCCCAGAGGCCCTTTTGGCTATGGGGCGGGATAGAAATGCAATCAGTCAATCAATCAATGGAAAGCATGTGCACCACCCACTCCCGCTCTTATGCACACCCCCATCTCTGGCTCCAGCACACGGAGCAAGGAATGGGGTGGGCTCAGATGCCGCACTTCCCAGGAGTCCCACCTCCCTGTCCCTTTTATTGCAAGGCTAAAACTGGGAATCTTCAAAGGAGGCCAAGAGATGCACTCACTGTATGATGCAGGGCAGGTCCTCTTGCCTCCTCCAGCGCATGGGAAGCGCCACCCTCTGAGGGGTACCTGGGTAGTTCTTAAGGCCAGAAGGACAGCAACAGTGCAGTATTAACAAGCAGCCGCAGCTCAAGCCAGGGCTATGCCCCAAGGAACTCACAAGCAAAATTCCCACCATGGCAGGACCACCCATGCGGGAGAGCCCAAGAGTTCCAAGGACACAGGGAAACTCAGAATCCGATTCAGCCCCAGGATTTAGCTGCCCTTGAAGAGCCTGTCCAAATGCCACCTTTGAAACCAGCTGGAGAAACTGGGCATTCTTCCCACACCAAGCCCAGCATGCTGGAACGGGGGCACACAGGGCCTCATGTCCCCTGCACATTACAGCCCTCAGCGAGCTGCTGGAACAGACAGGCTTGCAGCACCAGCCACAGCCTTTTGTGATGACTCGTTGTGGGGTGGGCATCCAAAAGGCAAATCGTTGCTAGGGCTGCAAACCTCTCTAAATGCAGGCGGTCACACAAGGTGGCTGGACCGGACCCTGGGAGCTGGTCCAGCCAGCATGTCAGGCTGCGGGAAGACCCGGAGCTGCCGCTGTGCGGGCTCTCCTGGGGCTGCCCTTCGCCTTTTCCCGTCCATCTTCTCTGACGGATGGTCCACGGCTGGGCTGCATTTCCGGCAACGGAGGCTCGTGTGACAGATCGTTCAGGGTCCTGGACACATTGCTTAAGCATTTGCTAGAGGAAGCCCCTCTTATAACCGATGCCAGTCCTGGCGGAAGGCAGAGGTGCTCCGCACTGGACACGCCTCCAAGGCCTCTCCTGGGCAAGCCGTCCGGACTGCGCTGCTCAGGAGCACAACAGCTGGGCTCTGCCAGGGGTGCCTGAGGCCCAGCCACAGTCCCCCTGGCTCTGCAACCTGATTTCATTCAAGGCCACGTGTCCCCACTGCAGATGAAGGAACTGTAGCCTTCAAACCGGACAGGTAACACGCTGCCCAGAGGGACACACGGTCCCGGCTGAGGGCTGCCGCAATTGCCACCAATTCCCCCTGGCCCCCAGTGCACAAGGGGCCCCCCAGGCCTCAGCTGCTGCTTGGAGGGGTGGCAGAAGCCTGGCTCCTCTGGCTAGAAGAACCCAAGAAGGCGTTTCTGGAGCTTCCGCCTGCCCCTCAGGGACTTCCCTGGGCGAGCAAGACAAGGCTGCCTTCCAGCTGTCACCCTCCCATGATCCCTTGTTGCTTCTCCCATCCCCTCCCTTCTCGCAGAGAACCTGTGAAGGAGCGAACGGTGGGGCTGGCAGAAACCCTTCCGGCTGGCAGCGGAGGGGCCTCGCCTGGCGGCGGCCTGGCAACTCCCCGCCCCGCCCACCGGGGGACATTGCACAGTTGCTCTGCCTCCCCACCCAATCGATAGCCACTCCTGGCTGTCCTGGGAGCTCCATTTCTAGCCACCTGCCACAGCTTTGGGCAGCAGCCCCTCACCCAGGACTCACCTGCACGCCGGCCTTTTTCCTCTTCAGCTGCTTCATTCCAAGGTCTAGGTAGCTGTGGGAAGAACGTTGGCCGGCAAGCAAGTGAGGTCAGTTGCCCACGCAGGAGCTGGGTGCACATCCCACCCCGTGGGGCTTGGAAGGGCGCATCGGCTGCCGTGGCCTCCCCACAGCGAGCGTCCGAGGCTTCAGTTGCACCGATGCGTCACGAAAGCAGGGCTTGCCGTTCTGCAGGCAATTCTTTTGCAGAGTCAGAAGGGTCTCAGCTGCCCATTCCAGGCCACCCCCAAATATTAGCTTTACATGGGGGGGGTAGCCTTGCCTCTGGGCAAGTACATTTCTCTCCAGCTAGCGTGTGGGTGGCAGCTGCGCGTGGAGGGAGGGAACAGGGAACCCTGCGGGGCTGGTGGCACCAGGGAGCGCCAGGCTGCCTCCTGCTTCGCTGGCCTCCCCGTTCAGCCAGACTCAACCCAGAAAAGTAGCAGTCATCCTCCAGGCCGCTTGCTTTTCCCAGATATCACATGCCTGAATTCTGGAGCTGACAGCGTGTTAATTCAACAGGGGAAAACAGCAATACGCGATCTGGTTTTAGTGATGAAGAAACAGCTATCCCCTCCCCAATAGAAACAACCCTGCAGCAGCAACAGCTTGGAAGACAGATGGCCAAACAGGTCTATCTCCCCGCCTCTCCTCTCCTTCAAGCTTAGATGGGCTCGCGAATGGGCCTTCAGTCCCCGACTGTCCTGGAGAAGCAGGACAAACACTGCCCTGTGAGGAGAGACTGGGCGAACTGGGCATGTTCAGTCTTGCGAAGACTGAGGGGGGACGATATCCCTCTATAAGTACCTCAAAGACTGTCCCAAAGGGGGAGGTCAAGATCTCTTCTGACTGATGCCAGAGTGCAGGACACGGAATAATCAATTCAAGCTGGGACAACCCAGGTTCAGGCTGGACATCAGGAAAAACTTCCTCACGGTCAGAGCAATGTGACAGTGGGCCCAGCTGCCTGGAGAGAAACTGGGCAGCCACCTGAGTGGGATGGTGTGACGTGGTGTCCTGCAACAGCAGGGGGCTGGACCGGATGGCCTTCATGGCCCCTTCCGACTCTCCTCTTCTATGAGTCTGTGACCAAGAAGGGACATTGCTGGCCCTTCTGCCCAGTGAGCTCAATTCAGAGCCCACCCGTTGTGCAAGATCAGTCGAACACATTCAGAGATAAATTTCTCCTGGTTCTACAGAGATCATTCTTTCATGTATTACTTATTTTATATACCGCCCATTCCCAGAGCTTCTGGGTGATTCACAGCAAGGTGTAACACCGCCAACAATGCAAATCTCGGTTAAGAGCAACCTGTTAAAGAGGTCTAAGGCCTGTTGGAAGAGAGACAGCAGTCAGAGGGCGCGAGAGACAACAGCCTGGGCTGTCCGGCACATCTCTCGGAGCAGCAGTTCCGCACTCGGGGGGCAACCTTTGGGTGGCTGATGTTCCTCCTGCGGCAGAGCAGGCTGGGAGAAATATATGGGCAAAGGCAAGGTCAGGAAGGGAAGGGGAGCATGCCATGGAAACTGCATGTTCGATGCAGCCCTTCAGGCAAGACTCCCACCTAATCCAAGACTTCCCAAAGCACACCTGGCATTTCTGTAGCACTTTCAAATGCCCGGATCACCCACAATATCATCTTAAAACCAGTGCAACAACCCTGGAAGGCAGCCCAGTGTTATTTCCCCCATGTTGCAGCTACAGGTAAGGGGATGGTCAAGGAAGGGGGCAGGGTGCTTGCCTAAAATGACCTCCGAGCTGGCATTCAAGCCAAGGGCTTCCTGGGAGTCTCCTGGTCACTACTCTGCACGTACCAGCTCTTGCAGAAAACAGTCCCCACGGATCGGAAATGGGGCCAGATGAGAGGCCCCTTGGGCTGGGCCTGGATCCTCACCCTGGCTGCTCACAAGCAGAACTCATGACCTGCTAGATGATCAGATGAATTCCGGGAGGGCTGTGGGAACTGGCCTGGTAGAAGCGACCCAGCTCCTTCCCTTATGTGTCTGTTCTCAGGCCAGGGGCTGACAGAGAGACATAGACCGGGGGGGGGGGGCTGCAATAAGCTCGCCAGCTGACATCACCGGCCCTGCCGCTGTCACAATCACGCCTCCAGCTCTCTGTGAAGACCACCAGGGCACTCCCCATGGGCACTTGCCACACAACATGCCCTGCACCTCCCAGACCCCCTGGGGATGCCCCACCAGAGGGCACCCCTGTGGCTTCCCAGGCCAGGGGGGCGCTTTCCTAGGGCATTTTGCAGCAAGCTTGGAAACCATTTCTCACCTGCTCTGTTGCAGGGTTGGTGGAACCATGCGCAGTGTCCGCACATCTGATGTGCGGTCTACAGCTTCTCATATCAGCACACTGACAGGTGTGCTATCAGTCAATCTGCAGTGGGGGGCAAGGGCAATAGATTTACCCCGGGGCCACCCAGTTCTTGGGCCAGGTTCTGCGCTTTTCTCAGGAGCATCTTCTAGCTGGGAATCGCCACCTGCACCCCAGATCAGTGGTTGGCTTTGGAGGAGAAAACATATGTGACCCACAGGCTTACCTACACACCAGAGTGAGCACGGTCCGGGAAGAGCCCTTGGGTTCCATCCAGCACCCAAGAGCAACCCCAAGGCATTTTCCTGGTGAATGAGCCTGACAAGAGGACACCATGAACCTGTGGGAAGCCCCTCCCTCCAGGCCTTTCCCCCTGCACAGCAAAGCAGGTGCTGGCCCAGGAAATTCAAAACCCAGCTTGCCTCCCTGGAACGCACCTGCAGAGCAAGGCAGGTGTGAGAGCAGCGACCCCTCCTCCAGGAAAAGCCAGGGTACAGCTGAAGGATCCCTTCAAAGCTCAAAATGCAGGCATCAGCTAGAGCCAGTGGCTGTATGTCCCCCAGAGAAAATGGGGGAGGGGGTGAAAGTGCCCCCCTGCGACATCTGCTCCCCAGGGATATCCCGGAGGGGTGCATTAGAGGAAGACGCCCAATTTCAGTTGGGGGCTGAACCCCCTCCCTTCCAGGGCCTGTGGCTCTGGTGTGCTGCTCACCATGCCGCGGACGACAGAGCTGCAGCTGGCATGGCCGGCCCCTTCAGTGGCGCCAGGGTGCCAAGAGGGGGCAAACCTGCGGCGTGCCTTTTGTGTTTTGGTTTGCACACCCAGGAGAATGGGAGAATGCAGGTCAGGAGCCCAGCCCAGCTCAGAGGGGTGCAGGCCACCCACGGGGATTTCCGGACCCAGCCCAAGCTTATAACGAGAACCCTCCCTGAACAAGGCCACCCTGATGTCACGAGTCACGGCAAACACATTTCTTTCGTGACGATGATGCTTCTGAAAGGACAGCACACACTGGGGTTTTTTCCCTGTACTGCAAAAGACACACAGTGGGTTACTGACACGGCTTTTATATGGACGGCTCCGCTCTCTCTGGGAACGGCCTGGCCCTTTGCCATGGCCCTTTCCTTGCGGCAGGGAGTTTGGCTCGGCTCAGACCCAGCACCAGACACCACGCCGCGCGCGTGGTCCAGCCATGGCCGGTGCAGGACAGCCGTGCAAAGGCACTGGGCACGCACTGCACTGACGAGTAATGCAGCCCTGGAGACACCGCCCAGTCCCACGGGCAAGTGCCAGGCTGCACGGGGGAAACCTCTGCCGGCAGAACTCGCTCCCCGGGCCCCCAGCAGCCCGTGGGAGGAACCTGCCGGTTCTGCTCCGGCCTGGCTCTTGATTCGGCCCAGAACCACGACTCGGACGCGGGGACCTGTTCCCACAAGGTTCCAAGCCCGGCCTGCAAATCGCCTTCTGTTCCGTCCTGTGGCGATCGGGCCGCCGGGCCGCCCCCTCCCGCAGCGCCCGCCTGGCCCTGGGCGTGCGACCCCGGCAGGCCACTCACTTGAGCCTCCGGAAGCGCTCAAAGCCCGCGGCCACGTACTGCCCGCCGTTCTGCAGCTCGGCCAGCTCGGTGACCCGGTGGCCCTGCCGGGGGGTGTAGATGCTCCGCACGGCCGCGGGCGCCTGGACGGTGCCGGTCACCTCGTTCAGAAAGGCCTCGAAGGTCAGGAATCGGCGCTGGTTCACCACAAGCCTCCTGCCGCGGAAGAAGGGGTCCCCGTTGCGGTAGAGGAGCACGTTCTTGGCCGGGGGCACGGCCGCCGCCGCCCCGGAGCTCATGCCGGCAGGCCCGGCGCTGGGGAGCGCCCACCGAGCCCCGACGGCGCCGACTCCCTGCCGCCCTCCCGGCCGCGTCGCTCAGCCCCGCTCCGAAGCAACACTTGCCGTTTCCATGGCTGCCTGCCTGCCTGCCTGCCTGCCAGGCGAGGCGTTTCCTGGGCTCGGCGGGAGGCCGGGCCAGCTCGCCTCCCGGCCGGCCAGCGTCCCTTTCCTCGCGCCTTTCCCCGCTGCCCATCGCTCCCTTCTGCGGCGACGCTCCAGCCCTGAGCCCGCGCCGCCGGGACTTGCCCGCGCGGGGCCTGGCGACGGGGCGCTCCTGCGCACGGACAGAGTTCTTACCCCTCCGAGCCCAGGCGCTTCTTTGCCGAGAACTGCATTGTCCAGAGTCATAACTTTATAAGGTGGCCTCGCTCTCCTGTTTCTCAGATATTCAGCATGCTTAATTAGCAAAGGGATGTGGAGTTGTTGTTGTGCTTGTCCCTGCAAACAACCCTGCAAATAGTTTCACCTTCTTATGTGGCATGTGGGGAAAAGAGGTTTTGAACAGAGAAGTGAATCGCCCGCCCACTGAGGTGATGGGACTTGCAGCCAGTTTTCCCAGCAGCAGGGGCAAACCGTTTTGACCAAATGGGACCAAATACCATCGCTGTGGTGTTCAAATTCAAACTGTGGTGTTCAGATTGCTACAAGGCACAACAGTGCCTCTCCATAAAGACCTTCCTGTCCCACCAGCGGGAAGGAGTCCGAGACCTTCACCAGTGCGCCCACAGCGGCCCTTTCCTTGGTTGCCTGGAGTTTGCCCATTCCAGCAGGAGTTTCCTTCATAAGGCACGCGCCACTGGGCTGCAGAAGAAAGCCTGCACTGCACAGCCGTCTTTATCTGGGCTCAGACGAGTGGTGTGGTGTGCGGCACTCAGCGACGTACCTCCGTTCCGGAGCAAGTTCCTTTTCTTTTCGTCTCCACAGTCTGCCTGCTGGGAAACAAGCAACCATTTTAGGAAAAGGCAAGTGCCCCCCCCCCAGCCGCAGCCATTTTGTGTGAATGACCAGAACGCTCCTCTGAATTCAGCCAGCTGCCCTGGCACAATTCCAGCTCCAGGCATTGCTGGCAATGGCCACACAACCCACACCATCATGCTGTTTGTCTCCTGCGGCACGGGGAGTGCAGTCCATGACACATGGTGCAGAGCTGAGCTTCGTGAAAATCTGTTTTCCCAGGAGGGAGAAGCACAGCAACCTGGGCTCGGTTGCACAAAGCAAACATGGGCAAGTCCTGGTGAAGCTTGCAAAGCCTTCCGAAAGAGGTCCTGCAGCCAGGCAGCAGGTGGGGGGACAAGCCTGTGGAAAATTGCATGTGCCTCCCTGTGCTTACCAGCAGCAGGACGAATTACGCAAAGAGAAGCAGGTATATTTCTGATGCAGAATAGATTCAGAGTAGATTCAGGACTCAGCAGTCTTTGCTGGAGATGCTGCATGAAGCTGCTGCTTCTTGGCAGTCTGGAGGCAGGCAGGGCCCTGACGACAGGCAGAGTCCAGCCAAATTACTGCACACCTTCCCTTTCTCCTCTGGAAGCCAGCGCACGAGCACAGACGAACGGCCTCTGCCACTGCTGCGGTTTCCGTTTGGTCTTGCAGAGGAGGGCTGCCTGCAAGGGCAAAAGATTTGGCCCCCTCCCCTGTGAGGGCTGACCCACACGCAGCAGCAACACTGGGATGGACTGGTCACCAGCATTTGAAAGCAGGCCTGGCACACCCACAGCCGCCGGCGAGCCCCCTACCTCCCGAAACAGGCTGCCAGGCACTGCTGCAGCAGGGTCTTTGGCTGACAGGCTCCAAAGCAGGGTGAGCAGCCTGTGTCATACATGTCTAAGAACCACTCGTTGATCAAATCCAGGCAATCGTGCACAGCGGCTTTATTAAACTGGGGCTCTTTCAAATCATAAATGACTTCTATATGAGCAAGCAGGCTAAACATCTTGCCAGTCAGCAACCTTCGTCAACTTCTGTGCAATGCTGGTCTTCAGCCTGTGGGCAGGATCCATTTCCGGGCCACATTGACTTAATGTAGTTTGCAACAGCAGGACCCCCACCATGCAGACATGTGGTGGGAAATTAAACCACCCAAAAACACATGCTTGGGTCAGGGGTGCTGTTGCTACACTTAATGGGTTGATTATTTTGGGTCATCCTGGTAGTACCGGGAAGAGCTCTTTTGCCACATCTGCCCACACTGGAGAAAAGGGAAACCCCGAGGACTAGGAAGTAGCCAATGCAACACCAGTTTTTGGAGCAGGGAGTTACAGCCTTCTTTACTTAGCTATTTTGGGGTTAATTGGTAGAAAATGCTATCAAAGATAAAATCATGAAGGACTCAGAAAGACAAGTCTGGCTGAAGAGGAAACACAGTGGCTTCTGCAAAAACAAGTCTAACTTTTTTTATTATTATTATCATTATCATTATCATTATTATTATTATTATTATTATAACATTTCTATGCCTCCCCTTGCCGAAGCCTCGGGGCGGCTTACAACACAATAAGATACATTGAAATACAATAGAACATAATAAATTACCACTAAATACAAAATACAAAAAATATACTGAGATACAATAATATAAAATTAAAATTAACAGTATAAAATAAGTAAATAAAGAATATAGGAGGAGAAAAGAGAAGGAAGAAGAAGTTGCCCTGGCCAGATCATATATTTTAACAATTAAAATGATGTTTAAATAAAAAGGTCTTTACCTGGCGCCGAAAAACCAGTAACGACGGTGCCAGGCGGACCTCTTTGGCGAGTGAATTCCATAGGTTGGGCGCCACCACAGAGAAAGCCCTCCTCCGAGTACTTACTCTCCTAATTTCTTTCATGGAGGGTTCCCAGAGAAGGGACTCTCCCGCAGATCTCAAGGGGTGGTCGGGCATATACGGACGTAAGCGCTCGTTCAGGTAGCCAGAACCCAAGCCGTTAAGGGCTTTATAGGTCATAACCAACACCTTGAATTGGGCTCAGGCTTCAATGGGAAGCCAGTGAAGCTGACGGAGGACTGGAGTCATGTGAGCATAACGCCCTGTCCCCATCAGCAACCTGGCAGCTCTATTTTGCACCAGTTGAAGTGTTCGGACCATCTTCAGGGGAAGCCCCACGTAAAGCGCGTTACAGAAGTCTAGGCGGGAAGTCACCAGCGCGTGTGTCACCGTCACCAGGCAGTCATACTCCAGGTAGGGGCGCAGCTGATTAATCAGCCGAAGCTGAAGGAAGGCGCTCCTTGCCACCGCTGTCACCTGAGCTTCCAAAGAAAGCTCCGGGTCGAGGAGTACTCCTAAGCTGCAGATCTTGTCCCTAAGAGGGAGTGTTGCACCATTCAGGACCAGGTCAAATCCACCCTCTCCGAAGCCCGATCCGCCAACCAACAGGACCTCCGTCTTGTCTGGGTTGAGTTTCAGTTTATTGGCCCTCATCCATTCCATTACCTCGGCCAAGCACCAGTTCAGCACAGCCACTGCCTCACCTGGATTAGTGGAAAACGAGAGGTAGAGCTGGGTATCATCAGCATACTGATGATTCCGCAGCCCACACCTCCTGATGACCTCTCCCAGCGGTTTCATATAGATGTTAAATAGCAGAGGGGATAGAATGGAGCCCTGTGGTACTCCATGGCATAGCTGCCATGGCGCAGAGACATAGTCCCCCAGCACTACCTTCTGGAATCGACCGTTGAGATAGGAGCGGAACCACCGCAAAGCAGTGCCTCCAACCCCCAATCCCGCTAGCCTATCCAAAAGGATACCATGGTCGATGGTATCGAAAGCCGCCGAGAGGTCCAGAAGAACCAACAGGGATGCACTCCCCCTGTCCTTCCTGCACAGGTCATCGTACAGGGCGACCAAGGCAGATTCAGTACTGTACCCGGGTCTGAAGCCGGACTGAAAAGGATCCAGATAATCAGTTTCATCCAAGAGTGCTTGGAGTTGTCCCACCACCACTCGCTCCAACACCTTGCCCAGAAACGGGATGTTGGCCACAGGTCTATAGTTAGTGGCCATCTCTGGATCCAGTGACACTTTCTTCAGGACCGGTCGTATTACCGCCTCCTTTAAAAGGGCAGGTACTCGACCCTCCCTCAGAGAAGCGTTAACCACTTCCAAGATCCTGGTCCCAATCCCGTGCTTGGAGTTATTTATTAACCAAGAGTGTGAACCAGTGCGTGTATTTTAAGGACACAGTTTACTTGTATTTTCAAGAGCCTTTTGGTAAAGTCAGGGACAGCTAAGTACACTTAGCAGTCATGGGGAAGAGAAATCCTCATTGACAAGAAGCTGGTTAAACAAGAGTAGTGATACACGGGCAGTTCTCACAATGGACCTATGTCACCCAGTGAGGTCCCACAAAAATCTTACTGGGAGCTGTGCTTTTTAACTTGTTCTTAAAGGGCCTGGAGTTAGGCGTGAGAAGTGTGGCCGCCACGTTGGCTGACATCAGAGTAGCTAGGGTGATTACAACAAAGAGAAAACTCCATAAGAATCTCTCCAAATGGGGAAGATGGGTATTAAAATGGCAAATGCAGATCGATGTGGGCATGTGTAAAGTGACGCATGCTCAGGCAAACAAACAAACAAACAAACAAACAAATATATATATCCCCAAAGTGATCAGAGAGCTTGAAAGAAAACTGGGAGCTTCTAACCTTGGAGACAAGCAGTTAAGAGATGTAGAGTTATGCCTGGTGCACAGAACGCAGATCCAGGGATTTTCACACCAAGTCAGGAAGCAGCCTTGAGTTCCATTTTTCTTGGTAAAAAGGCAAGGCAGAAATGAAATGAAAAAGTAAATGCTAGAACCCCCACAGTCATTCATGAAGCTGAGTGGAGCATGGCTTGTGATGGACTTGTTTACAGAGTTAGAAAACTGAATTCACCGGCACAACACAAGTGACAACTCCTGATTTACACTGAGCACCCTCCAGTCCCGATAAATACAATTTTAACACGCCTCTTGGGCTTTCATTCATGGTGCAAATACTTCCTTTTGCCTTATAATTAGGGAGGGTGAGGACAGAAAAGGAAAGAGTGGTCCTTCCAAGGCCTGTAACATTTTTAGAGCTTTTTAAAAATAAGCTGTGTATCATCATCTGTTTAAACTCTGGATTTTAAATCTAGATGTATGGTAATTGAGATTTTGAAAGTGTTTGTTTATGCTGGTCATGGACTGCATTAATAAACTGATTGATTGATAATGTTTTTAGGAACTGTGTGTTGCTGATCCCAATAAGGGAACCAACCTTGCTCTTCAGACAAACAAGTGCCCCTTGGGAACTCTTCTGGCTGAATTGCTTTCCCCCAAGTTGATAATTACAAGACCTACTCTGTAACATACAAAATGATGCTCAGGTTTGGTTTGCTCCTCTTCCCTCTCCTTTTTCCTCTTGCAATGTGCTTTTTAGACAGCAATCTTGAGTGCAGAAACTCAAGATGTTATTCAACTTATACATACACCTGCAGAAGCCTTTTTCAGCTGAAGAATAAGAAAAAGAAAGCATATATTTTATTTATAACATTTCTACCCTTGCTTTGCAGCCAAAAACAAGTCCCACTGGCTCTCAGTGGGACTTGCAATAATATCCATTACAATAAAAAAACATGCTGAAGATAGCAAGCCCAATTCTCAGTAAGTATCCAATGTAGTATTACTGCTGTGCCAGTCTAATAATTGAAATCTTTCTCAAGAAGAGAATTGTTATGGCTAAAGGCTCTTCCCCTGGTGGGGAATGCTGGAAGTTGTGTAAAAGCATGCCTGCCAAGTCCTCCAGCTGGGATTTCTCTCCATCTGTAGAAGAACTGTAGAAGCCGCGTCTGCAGGACCGGAGCCAGAGTCCTCCACAGACACACACTGTTCTTCTTCACTGCAGTTTCAGAAAGATGTCTGTAGCAGGCAAAACCTTTGACTTGCAAAGCCTGAAGAGAATCTTCTGTCTTCACTGCTACTCTCATAAGCCTTAAAGCTAAGCTCAGTCAGAATCCATGCAGAGTGGCTTGCTCTTGCAGCCCCAGTGCTTTCTTTCCACTGCTGGCTGGTGGAACCACACACTTCCTCTTCTGTGTATATTGCCCCATCAAGCCATGTCTTCAGACTAGTAGTCACTCTGAGCTCCCCAGCCTCTGTTTCAGCATCAAGTACTAAAAGACAGGATCGGAGGGAAGAACAGCAGATCAGACACACATAGCAACCAAGTAACACTTCTTTTTCTGCTTTACCTAATGCAATACTGGTTCCAAAATAAATATTTAAATGGTAATAAGCTACAGCATAGCATTTAATCCACTAGATTCCCATGGAGACAAGTTGTTTTAAAGATGTGCCATGTAACAGCTAGGGGTTAACACACACATTAAAAAAGACAGAGATAGAAGGATCCTCCCAAACCCACTGGGTCTTTGCTTACAGATGGAAGGATGCTGAAATACATCTCTAGGGCATAGCAGGTAAAAAGGAACAAAGGCAGACGTTGTAGTGATGCTTCTGGTAATTCTGGGACACTGACTCCCCCATGAACTTCCCCCTGTACCAAAGGCACCCAGTGGCTCCCAGGGCGCTTCTTACGTTCTTACGGCTGACAATGGCTTGCTGCAGCCAGAGCAGCTCCATGGCCAGGTGCTTTCGGTAGCGCTGAAGGTCAGGAATAGCCTGGGGCACCTCTTGCCCCTTCTGGAAGGAAAGTTCTGTACAGAAAGAGATTGAAAACGTCACGAAGTCTTCTTCTTGATGACTTGCTTCTCTCCTCCCCTCATTGCCTTCCCCACACACATCTTGAATGAAAAGCTCCACTGAAAAATTCTTGTAGGATTTTATACTAATTCTAAAAGCACTGCATGTTGTCCTAAGTACACTCAGAAAAAGTGCACAGCAAACTAAAGGCAGTCTTTCCATAATGGAAGGGAGTTGGGAGTCCCACCCGCTGCCTTACCCTGGCTCAGCCTAGGGGACTCCACCTCCAGGACCACACTGCTCCACTCAGAGGACACATTGCTGAGGTCCCCGCCTTCTTCCCTTTGCCCCGGCAGGCTGCTGGGGTTCCCTGAGGGCTTCTCCACAAGGTGTTTTAGATTCTGTATCATGTCACCCGCTTCATCTTCTATAACCAGCTTTGTTGGAAGGTGGCTTGGAAGCTGCATCTCACAACAACTCTCTTCTGCAGGCAGTAACTCCTCCTGACAACGCTTTTCCTCTTCTCTGTATGATGTACTCTCATTGCATGCTGCCTCTTGGCCTTTTAATTCCTTAGTTTTTACTGGGTTGTGGATTGGCTATAAGATATACAGAGATGACAGCATTAGGAACAGCAAGGGACAAACACTTCTATGCACCAATGTGAAATCCTTTCTTTCCAGAAATACAGTAAAAACTCCTCTGGTATCTTAAAGAAAACTAAATATATCTTGTCAAAAGTTTTCATGGGCATCAGTCTGTCAGCAAGCATAAGTCCTGCATCCAATGATGCCCAGGAAAGCCTATTTTATATATTGTACTTTTAAATCACCCAATAATCCAACTTCTTTCAACACTGTACAATATATACATAAAAAGAATAAAGCAATGAATACAAAGATAAAACTAAGATAAATAGCAGCAAGGAATGAAAACACCAGAGCACATAAACCCAAGGTAGAAGAAGCATCAGAATAAATGAGTGCCAAAATCTAAAAGCAGTTCTTAAAATATCTGGGAGAGTAAAAAGGCCTTCACTTGACACTGCAAAGGCCTCCCCCTTCTAGCCTTAGGGTCCAGGTAGACGAATGCCATTAGATTGTATCAAATGCCGCTGTTTAGGCCACTCTAACATTCCTCCCCGAGTACAGAAAAATTGACAAGTTCTGACAACCAGAGACAATTCATCCACATTTAACCTCCTAACACTATCTGAAGAAAAATAAATGAAATCAAAAATAAGCAGAGAGACAGAGAACCATTTAGCCCTCAGGGCTTGGAATGTACTCCCGCTCACCCCTTGGAGGTCAAATGGTATCACAGGGCAGCCCACCCTGCCACTTGGCATCATGCTTTCCCCATGCAAAGAAGTGTGGCTGCCCCTTGGTAGAAAGAGAAAAGGTCCTTGCCTTCTATGCAGACAAAGCCGGGAAGCATTTTCCTTCATACCAGTTTGGTGTAGTGGTGAAGAGCATGGGACTGGGACTCAGACGACCTGGGTTCTAGTCCCCGCTCGGCCATGGAGCCAACTGGGTGACTTTGGGCCAGTCACAGACTCTCAGCCCAACCTACCTCACAGGGTTGTTGTTGAGGGGATAAGATGGAGGAGGAGAATGATGTAAGCTGCCTTGAGCCCTTTGTAGGAAAAAGGCAGGATATAAATCACTCGATCAATCAATCCCCCAGCCTGTCTCTGTACAGAGCAAAATGCTCTTCCTTACCCTTCCTGCCCTGCCCTGCCCAGGCAGGAAGAAAACCATTCCTCCCTGCCTCTCTGCTTGGAGGAAATGCTTTTCCAGTGGGAATTTCCCTGTGCGCCACTGCCCCTCCCAGTCAGAATTTCTGGCACCCTTTAATCCAGGGATGTGGATGTTCTGGCTCATAGGACTAATCTGGCTTGCAAAGATTCCCCATGGGAATTAACGGATGTCATGAAGTGAAGCCAGGCTACTCAGAAGGCTGCCTGCTCCAGTTCACTGCTCTGGTCTTACCTATCTCCCAGCTTGCCTGCTGCATGAGATGGAGGAGGGTCTGCCCCTTCTGCACCAACTAGATCTTTTAGTCATCCCAGGAAAGCCTTCTCAAAGACACCTGTGTAGCGCTGCTCTTACCTGGCCTCCTCTGCCACAGGAGGCAAGCAGAAGCACAGGGAACGGTGGGAGGAGGCAGCAGCTGAATTCAGACCACACAGTAATTCACATGAAAGGACTGACCATGATTATCGTGTTATCCTGACTCAGCCACACAAGTCAGCTCTGGCTGTGCACCAGGAACAACCCACAGTTCACAACCCAGTGACAAACCAAAGGTTGTTTGCATGGCTTGGTTCAGACAATATGGTGACACACATGTTAACAGCAACCCACAGTCCAACAACTAGTACTCATAGTCAACCTTTTAATGTAGGTTGACTGTGCAGGTTTTAATGTAGTTTCTGTGTTCCCAGAAACTGCTAAATCCCTGATGTGAGCAAATGCTGTTGCTACCCTCTTATGATTTAAGTGCCTTTTTGCTCAGAAACTAATTCAGAATGTGTGTATACGTCCATTAGAAGTTTGGGAAATGGTGGCTTTCTCCTAACGGAGAAGGGAAAAGGGAGGAACACAAACGTGCTCCTTCACCAGCCTAGCTCTACATTAGCCCACCAGCCATCACGACATCCCATGGCAGTGATACTCACAGGCCAGCTATGTGGAAGTTATTTCCATCCAGCGGAAGCTCAAGATTGTTGTGTACCTCTTCATTCTTATGTTGGGTAAAAAAGCAAGCAAACATGCAACCTTGCAAATGAGCTGACAAAAGTTATTAGTTTGCTAGGAGGCTGGCAGCCTGGGTTCCCATGCTTCTGCTTCCCCAGATCCAGCATGGAAATGAGGCCCTTAACAACCATGAGGCCCTTAACAACCTGGTTTAAAACAAAGAGGGGAGGGAGCATCTATCAAGCAGACTGGCAGAGAAGGGAGAGAATATTCAAACCCCACCTCACCATCATCTTGCTATACTGGTCACAGAGGAAGGAGCACACTTGCCTCTGCTTCTAGCACAGAAGCTGGAAGCTGGTGGAGGAGGGCCAGGTCATTCCATCCCTCCCTTGGCCACCAACTGCTGCACTGTTGTTCTGGCCAAGAGCCCAAGGATGGACAGTCTCTCACCAAGAACTATCAACCACCATACCTTTGGGAGAAAAGCCGGCCACGACAAAGAATGTCTGTTCCACTGCAGAGAATCCAGATTCCCTTCAATCTCCTTTACAATACTCTCATATGCTCCCCTTAAGCTTTGAAACTTCTTCCTGATTAGGTAACCCCTGACAGAAGCCTAGAAAGAAAACAAAAATAATATAATCACATATGAGAATGGAATAAAAGGCCGGCAGTCCAATCCTCGCCACAAGGCAAGGTCACAAAGGCTAGCCTATTAGAAGTGCACCTCCCTCCCTTCCTCTGAAACTGCTCTTCTGCTTTTAACAGCAACCCAGCAAGCAGAGAGCTGGATGATTTGGCTCCCAACTTGTTTGCCAGAGTGTTGTTAAAGACAGAGTTGCAAGGCCAGTGAGGAAGCCGGGAACCTGAATTCCATGGTAGCCCATGCTCTTCCACCCACCCACAGTAGTCAGAGGCAAGAAAGAAAATTGAGAGAAGACATGGAATTATTGGTCTCTCTCCTTCACCTCTTCAGAACAATTTTTCATGGGATCATTTAACAGCAACCACTATTTCTATTAAAATAGAAATAAAGCGAAACACCTTAAGCTCAGGTAAGAAGCTGATCATCTATTCCCTTAACAGGAGGCAATTTCTACCAGCTCTCCCTTCCATTTATTTCACCCACGCCACGTCACAGCGACCCCATTTCCTAGGATCAAAGCTTCAGGCTGCAACTGCAGGGCAAAGCGACTGGGCGCAGGATCTCTGCTTCCTACTGGAGACCAGCAGGTCTCCCCAGACACAGGCCCTGAGCTGGAGGGCCAGGGCCTGATGAAGCGGGACAGCGGACAGCCCCGGCAGTGCTTGACAGATCAGACCCTGATGGCCTTAGCCATTCGCCCTCTCGAGTCAAGCAGAAAATACACTCCCGCCTTGATACCGGCCAAATTCATGCGTTCCCCTTCAGGGTTCCCAGGGGGACAAAGCCGCACACGCAAAGCCATGAGGTCCAGGAACCCCCCTCCATGAGCGCAGACGGAGCCGCACTTGACAGGAAGCCTGCCCGGGCCCGCCCGCGCGCCACTCTCGCTCCTCCACCTGCAGCATCACCACCAGCCGCCGCCACGGCTCGCCTTCCTCCTCCCCCGCCATCTTCCTCGGCCGCTTCTTCGAGCCGTCGCTGCCAGGCAACCGCGCCTCCCGATGGCGTCACCGCGGAGCGCCGCGCCGGGTTCGTGCCCCGCTTCCTGCAGCTACGCGGCGCCGCCGCCAGGGGGCCGCCTGCTGCCTCGTGCTCTGGGCGGCCGCCGGCGGTGCCTCTGCGTGCGTGCGAGTATCAACGCCGGCGGGAAAACAGAAGGGGCGCGGGGCCGATGCCTCCGTATAATATCTGCGCCGGCTGCTCGAAACAAGAGGGGATCTTTCAAAAGGTGCTCCCCGTGTTATTTGCACAACAGCCCTGTGAGGTTGGCCCGCCGCCACTCAGGCCAGAGCCTGACTCCGTCAGCCTACAGAATTGCGCTGCTGGAGCAAAGCAGCGTGCTGGTTCTTGCAGGTGCCCCGTCACGCAGAGAGGTTGATCTCCCACTGCCTGGCACGAGTTTGTTTATTTATATCATGGGTACGCCGCCCGATTGTGCCACAGCACCCGTGTTGCACGATCTGTCGTTTAATAATTACGCTAAGCAGTTTGTTTAAAGGCTCCTGCCCGCCCTTGATGTTGCAAAGCCTCACAGAGGGGAGTGGCTACTTGAGACCAGCACGACCACTTTCCCCAAAGAGCCTTCCCAACTTTGCCCAGGGGCTTCAGAGCCTGCCTTTCCGCTGAAGTCCTCGAGGAGTCCCACGTGCAACATACTGAAATGTTTTCAGTAACTCAGTGGCTACAGCGGAGACCACAGTGTTCCCATGGATTTCTTGTGTGCCTCCGGGTGAGGCTTTTAGCACACCATCACCCGGATGCATGGCCTTCCTCTTCTCACCCCGCCTCATTTCCCCACCACTTGCCCTAGGAAGTCTGTGCCAAGAGCCCTTACTGGCAGAGGTCCCAAGAGCCTTCCTTTCTCTCCTGGGTCCTCCTGCAAGGCCCAACCCAGCAGAAATTATTCTGCTCAAGCCCTGCTGGGAACAGAACAGTCGAGGAGAAGCTGGACTGATCTGCTCAGATTAAGATGGGCTGGCCTGAGCAGCCAAGAGCGGCCACTTGGGAATTGCCAAAGAAGGGGAAATGCATTGCCGAAAAGGATGAATTTACATAGCTAATTAATAGATGGATGTGCCCGTTTAGTCATAGAATTGCAGCACACCTGAGCACAGTTCGGACGACTGTGTGGCGATGGGCACCACTTCTGATGGCCACCACTTCTGATGGCCGGCATCTCTGAGCCAGAATTCGGCAGGCGACCCTTTGAATAGCCTGCCATTTGTGAGGCAGGAAGGAGCACTGGGCAGCTTCCCAGATTTTTAGAACAGCCCATTTCAGGCTGGGGCCCTCTTAACGGGTTGGACTACAACTCCCAGCAGACTGGGGATTACGGGAGCTGCCGTTCAGCCTATCTGGACGGTGCCAGCTTGGAGAAGGCTGCTTTATAATATTTTATAGTAAGGACTATGGCTGTGGGGTCAAACACCTGAGGAAGTGGGCTTGGCCTGTCTCCAGGCAGGGCTGGGAAAGAGCCCCCCTCCCCACTTGAGAGCTGGGCAGCTGCTGCCAGTCAGTGCCCACAAGACTGGGCTGGATGGATCCAGGCTCTCGCTCACTTCAAGGCACCTTCTGAAGTGCAGATGGGGGCTTCCACCAGAGGCACTCAAAGGTATTGTGTAGCTACTGCATCTCTTCTTAACTTTTTTTGGGGGGGGAGGAGGAAGGGAAAAGAAACTGAGGGAGCAAGCAAGCCAAATGTTGCAGTCCCAGGATGAAATGTAGGTGGAACAGGCCCCCGAGTGCCTGGACCAGACTCATGCTTCCTCTGCAAAAACTAGAAGTCAGCCCAGTTCCCAGTCCTGTAATGTAGCCCAAAATGGAGTCAAAGGCAACAAACTCATGTAGTAGCTTTATTTAAATGAAAAACAAACAGCCACTATAAAGCACCAACTCTTTCCAAAGGGCTGCGATGGAATGGCTGCTTATGCAGTCTTCAGCGGACTGAGGGCAGGCAGTGGCAAGCCACTTCCGCCACTCTGCGCATTCCCGGGCCAGAAGCACTTGCCTGCCACTGTTGCTGCAGGGCTAAAACTCCGTCAAGGCCCATTGCTGCAGTGGGAGGGGTGCTGGGCCGGGCTGCGGGAGACCAGCTTTGGGTTCCTTAGAGTAATCAATGCCATAATAAAAATGCACAAATAGAGATGGACAGAGTCGCATTGTTTAAGAAAAGCTACTAGCATTCTTGTAGGACTCCTACAGCCCAATTCTAAACCAAGTTGTGTGGAAGACGCGCTCTTTGCCTGCATTAACTTGCCTTCTGAACCCTGTCTGTTGTCCTTTGCAGCCCAGAAGGCGCCTGTGAGGAAGCGTGGACGGAGCAGGGCAAGGTTGCGGCAAACCACCACGACTGGACCAAGGCGCTGCTGCCGGCCAATGTGGCCTGTTTGCACTTGTGTGGAATCCACACAGCCATAGGTGTGCAAGTTGCTCTTGATGGTGTCCCACACCCCCCTTCGTACAGACAGGCCATCTTTCCACAAAAATAGGTCCTGCCAGATGAACCTTGAGGAGTTCTAAGATGCGGTTTCGAGGTGGCCAGACGGAGGGGAAGTGGTGCAGTGGTTTACCTGAATTTTGGCAGGGCCTTTGACAAGATGCCGCATGATATCCTGGTTGAGAAATTGATGAGCTCTGGGATAGATCAATGTACTGTCCGATGGATTAGGGCATGGTTGACAGACTGCAAGCAGAGGGTAACTATCAGCGGGGAATCATTGGGATGACAGTCGGTAATGAGTGGAGTCCCCCAGGGCTCAGTTCTGGGGCCGATTCTGTTCAGTCTTTTTATCAGTGACCTAGAGGGGGGGGTCACCAGTCTGCTGACTAAATTCACAGACAATACCACAGTGGGGGTAGTGAGGGCACAACTGGGGAGCAGATAATCCAGATCCAGAAGGATCTGGACAGACTGTAGAAGTGGGTGGGGGACAACAGGATGGCGTTCAATGCAGATAAGTGCAAGGTCTTGTACTTGGGACTCAGGAATAGGTGCCTTAGGTACAGGATGGGGGACAAATGGCTGGAGAGTGACACTTGTAAAAGGGATCTTGGGGTACCTGGCGATAGAAGTTAAACATGAGCAAGCAGTGTGACAAGGCGATTAAGAAGGCAAACGCCACCCTTGGATGTATAGCCAGAAGTGTGGCTCCCAGATCGAGGGAGGTGCTGGTGCCACTCCATCAGACTCTGGTGTGCCCACAGCTGGAGTCCTGTGCCCAGTTCTGGGCTCCTCACTATGAGAGAGACATGGATAGGCCAGAATCAGTTCAGCACAGGGTCACAAGCATGGTAGCCAGACTGGGAGGGATGTCATACGAGATGAGATTGAGGGAGCTGGGTCTTTTCAGCCTGGAAAAGAGGAGACTCTGAGGGGATCTTATAGTGACATAGAGGAGTGTGAAGGGGTGTCACATGGTGGAGGGTCATGACCTGTTCTCCCCTGTGGTGGAGGAAAGGACAGTGATCCAGTGAGGCAAAGCTCAAGGACGCAGGCTCCAGGTTGGATGTCAGGAAGTATTTCCTGGAGGTTAGGACCCCTAGGATATGGAATGGGCTTCCAAGGGATGTGGTGGAGGCCCCATCAATGAGGGTGTTCAAGGAAAGATTGGACAACCACATGCTGGACATCACGTAAGTGCAGCTGACTGGAGCCGGGGGTCAGACTAGGCGGTCTGGCTTGCTTCATTTCTGTATTTTCTGCAAGGCTGACTTCAAGGGAAAATGTTTCTGCAAGGCCAGGGCCGGAGTGGGTCAGGCAGATCACTAATGGGCTGATTTCAGTGATATACTTAGCATTTCTAACTTCTCATGCATCATCTAGCCACAATCCTCACAACAAATAAATCCACATAAACAAACAACCCTACAAGGTAAGTCAATGTTCATTGTCCCCCATGCTATAAACCAGTTGGAGATTGGGGCAAAACAGCCTCTCTGAGATCAAGTAATAAATTCATGGCCGGGGCAAGATTTGATTCTGGTCTGCAGGTTGAGGGCGTCACAAGGTCATTTCCCCTCACCCCCAATCTTCTCATGTTCTCCAGATATCAGACATAACTCCCACCATCCTCAGCAAGCAGGGCCTGTTGAGTGGGAATAGCAGGAGTCATAACCCAGCAAATCCAAAGAATGCCACCATCCGTCTCCTTTCCCAGAGCAGTTTTTCTACCTTTAAAGTGCTGGTGGCTTTAAAAAAGGAGGATGCTGAGGAAATGAAGAGAGGGGGAAGCTGCATGGAGGAGTACAAAGAGCGGCTGTTGGCAGCCCCTTAGGCAGGGGAGACAAGGCAGATGAGCCCCGAGGGGTTGGCGGGCACTGGGGGGGAGGGGAGGGGAGGGAACCCCAGGAGCCCAGATCCTATGTTATGTTGGTATTCAGTGCAACCCTGGAAAGAGGAATCCATCCTCGTTTGTTGCTGCTCGGGGCACAGCCCAGCGCAGCTGCAGCCGCCACCTGCTCACCCACAAGCCTGGACTGCGGGCGGCTGGCTGCCACGCCGTACTGGCCGTTTACGCCCCTTCTCCGTTCGATCTCCAGGAACATCCCCACAGGTCTCCCCCACGCCCCCTTGGCAGGCTGCCCCTAGGGCCTGCCCGTCCCCACAGCCCTGCCCGCCACAGCGGGTTGCTGCATCTGACTCTTGAGAAGCAGCTTCTTTGCCAGCACCTGCTTTGCACAGCCAAGCGTCTCTGGTTTTGAGGCTTCCCAGTGGAAAGGGCCGAGAGACAAACCGGGCAGCTTCCTCTCTGTCCCTCCTCTAGACTGTGGATGAATCTTCCAGATCAGAGTTTTCAGCCAAGTGGAGTTTTTGTCTGGAGCATCAGGTCAAGTGAAAACGAGCGGCAGTCCAGCCAAGACGGGGAGCTTGCCCCTTTGCTCTGGGAGTGGAGCTCCCGCCCCACCTCTGACTTGTTTCTGGTCCAAACTGGCTGCCGAGCGCAGGATTCCGGCACATCTGGAGGAAGCCTGGGCACATGTGGTGCCCCACGAAATAGCAGGACTAAGGCCCACCTCCCAACTTTCTGCACACTCCCCCTCTTGCCCCATGCCCACCCCCTCCACCGCCCTCTTCCTCTGCCCAGGCAATTCCACATTGGGCCCCACACTAAGGATACATGGAGTTGCTCAGCTCCTCCAGCTGCAAAAGCAACAAGAACAGGCGGTGAGTGAGCCAAGCCAGAGGCACTGCTCGTTGGTCGCGTGGGACGGGCGGGCCCTTGGGCACCGCGAGGCCCGTTGGGCGGGTGGGTGCGGCAGCGGCGCAGTGGCCCAGCCCCGTCCTCGGAAGCTGCAGGCAGCCCCCCCCCCCTCGCCAGGATGCGCCCAGGCCGAGCTGGGCCAGCCGACCTAGCTCGGTTCCCGCATTTTGGTCAGGAGAGGGAGCCAAGGCCAATCAAGACTGAAAGGGTCAGGAAGAGGGGGTGTTTTTAACCCCCCCCCCTTTCTCCAGATGAAAAGAACTCTGCCTCCCCCACAAGCTGCTACTTGCTCCAGGGGACAGAGGGTAAAAACCACACCAAACATCTCAGTGGCTGCCACCCTCTGGGGGGGGGCAAACCACAGGGTCCTGTCATCTTCTTGGGATGGTTTCCTCAGACAGCGTCAAACTGAAAAGAGGCATCTTGACCTGTAACTGGAAAGTGGGCAGGTCTGTAGACCTCCTGGAGAAGAAGTCCCACAGATGGTAACTCTTAAGTTGCCACCAAGCCGATTTACCAAAGCGATGTACCTGAGCATGGGCAGAGTGTGGTAATACTTCTAGATAATGAGTCCGAACGGGTTGCCACTGAAGAGCTGCAAAGTCTTGCATCCTTGTACTGGGAGTGCTGAACCTCAGTCCATGGGCGCACCCATCCTCCAGGGGGCCCCCAAGTGCTCCTGGCCCCTCTCCCCCCAACTGCCCATTGCTTGATGGTCTCTTGGCTTCTACACAGCTTTCTCCCTCATTCTAAAAGTTTGTGTGTCCCTCCCGAGGCTTAGGAAATGGGCCAAATGTGTGGATCTGTGTGGCCCCGTCCCTCACTCGCGCCGGGATGGCTATGCTGAGAGCTGTTCCGGCGTTTCCTGTGGCCCTGGGGCCAGCCCTGCGTGAGGCCTGCGCTGCTGGGAGTCCGGGCACTCACAGGCACTGCAGCTGTGCAGGAGGACGCGGTCTCCACCTTGAAAGCCACACCTCTGCGTGCCTGTTTCCTGGATGGACAACTTACGCCTGGCTTCTATTTCCTGGCTGAAACATGGAGTTGGGGGCGGGGGGAGAAAGGAAGCATCTCCTGGAAGAGACGGAGGCAGACACTCACGTTTGTCAAGAGCTGATCCAGGTTCTTGTCAGCCACGGTTTTCTTCTGGTCCTCGGCAAGTTCCTCCACATAGACATCCAGACTGAAGTGCAGGCGGGCCAGCTTCTCCTGCATCTCCCGAAGGTGCTCCAATTGCTCAAAAGAACAATCTTTCCCTGCATTAGACAGGGGTGAGGTGGTGGGTAAGCACAGGCTCTGCAACGTCTCCAGGAGATTGACTGATTGATTACTTATGTATGTGTGTATGTATTCATGTATTTGTAGGCTGCCGATAATTGCCGAGGCCTTCCTAGGCGGCTTCCTAGATGCCAGAACGCCCCTCAAATCCAGTTTCCGCTGCACAGAGGACCAGTCTGGATGCCACACCATGGCATTTGGTACCAGACCCTGGTGGACAACACATGGCTCTGACATCTCTGGCATCTACTACTGCGGTACACTGCCACTAAGCTGTGAGGTTCTACTTCTCTATCATGACTAATGGCCATTGCTAGACCCGTCCTCCTTGCAATTCTTTCATTCCCCTTTGAAGCATCTCGCCCTGTGATTGTGAGTTCTTTATGTTCATTTGTGAAAGAGCACTTCCTTTTCCTGTGGAATCAGTTTAATTTTTAAACTCTAGGCCATGGTACAGAAGCAGAAGGCAGAGAGAAACTCCAGCCACTTTCAGGGAAGGACTTTACTGTCCCATTGCGCTTCCCCCGAGACGCCTCTTCTTTTTTAACACCCCCAGCCCACGAATAACTGACCTCCCTTTCCTGGAGGGACAGGGCCCCAGCCCCAGTCAGCACACAGGAGCAAGCGAAACACGTGGCGGGCTCTGTGCGGAGCCTGCCTCCACGTCCGAACCCACCTCAAGCCCTCCTCCTCTCTGCAGGCCTTTTGCTGCTCAGCAGCCGGGAGAGACCCGGGTTCTCGGTACACAACCCTCGGCTGCCGGTTCAGAACGAGCTTCCCCGCTGGGGGGGGGGGGCGCTCGATCCACGGAGCACTCGCTGCCCAGGGGTGTGAGGCAGCCTCCTCCCAGCGCTCAGCCGGCCACTGGCTCCACTTACCAAATGCCTGCAGCTTCCCCGAGTGGAAGTCGTTCAGCAGGTTCAGGAGACCCCCCTCCATCTCATACACATCGGAGACGTCCGTCAGGAACGAGTGCTGCAGGGGGGTGGCCACCACAGTACCCCCCGCACTCCCACTGGGCTGGGGGGGGCGCGGTTTCTCCTTGTTGACCCTGCAGGAGACAAAGAAAACCAACACAAAGAAGGCAAGACGGAGCCCAGGGCAGGAAGGCGGCGGCCCCGCGCTGCGCTCCTTCCTCACTTCCCTTTTCCTTTACAAGGATCAGGAATTGCTGCCCGCTGGACCCAGCTTGGGAGAAGCTGCTTGTTTGCACCACTGCATGGCCAACTGGGGCGTGGATGGGGAGCTCCGAGCACCTGCATCGAGACGCGGCCAAGACAGGGTCCTCCTGGGGCGCCTGCTGCCTTGTAGGGCTGAGCAGCTCCGGGAAAACATCCATAGGCAACGACTGGGGGCATCTTGGCGAAGTGGGGGAGGCGCCTGCAGACCAGGGAGCTTTGCTGTCGGCAGCAAGAGCTTTTTCTTCCCTTTCTCACTTCAGTGCAGAGGCCCTCCTGACATTTGGCTTCCTCCTACATGCCCCCTTAAGAAATGCTGTATTACACTACAGCATCTTCTCTGTGGCAGCCAGTCCTAGTAATGCATAAAGAATTGCACCCTATCCCAAACCAACACCAACACCCTGCTCATTCTGAGCCAAAAATGCTCCAGTTGGAAACATTCGATGCTTCCCCACCGTTTTCCAGTGCAAGCAGGGAATGACAGCGCCGTCTTGAGCAGAACCATGGCCTCAGACCTCTTCTGCAGGGGCCATGAAAGCCCTCACTGCAACTCCCCTGCTTTGAGCTCCCCCCACTCTTTCTCCCTCCCCACAAGGAGCTTCTGGCTCCAGTCCTTGTTACGCTGAAGGCCCGTAGCAGAAGTGAGCCCTCGGGTGAAGACCTCTCATTCGCAGAGGGAGCTCTGCCCATGGCGGGGAAAGGAGAGGCCGGGGAGGCAGAGTGGCTCATGACATTGCGCTCTCTGCCGCCTGGTGCAGCCTGAGCCACGCGACCCTGACCGGAAGGGCCAGCAGCCGCTCAGGCGGGACCTGGGCTGGCGGGCCGCCCAACCTACCGCGCTCCGGGCTCCGCCACCCTAGAGCGGAAGCCGTGTGGCCCTGACCCAGCCGTGTGCTGACCTCTTAAACTTGGCTCTTGGCTTGGGTGAAGGGAGGTGCGGCATCCCCAGGGAGAAGGAGGCGCTCTTGCTGGCGGGGACGGGCAGCTTGCGCAGGGCACTCGCGGGCACCGGCTGCGTCGGGGGGGCCTTGGGGCTCCTCCTCCTCTTCTTCTCCTCCATCTCTCAGGCCGCTGCCTTTCGGTCGCAGCCCAGGGCAGAACTGCCCCTGGGCTCCCAGGAGCAAGGACAGGCCTGTGGAGAGGAGCCACATGAAAGGGAGAACAGCTCCACCGCGGGCCAGCCTGGGGACAGAGGGGTGGGGGGGCTCCGCACGCCAGGGCAGTGCAGCTCGGAGCACCAGGTGCCAGGGACAGTCGACGGGGGCGGGGGCCAGCACTGCCGGGCCCTGCCTGGGAGGGGGGTCTGGATGGCAACCGCTGGCCCAGAGGTGCTTCTCGGGGCTGGAGGCGTCAGCCGGATCCCCCGGGGAAAGCCTGCCTTTGTCGGGACGGTCTTCTCTGAGGCTGCCTCCAGGCGGGGGCGCTTAGCGCTGGCGCCCCGAGAGCAGGGTGCTGCCTCCACCGTTCCTCAGGGCCCGAGACGCTCATCGGGAGCGCCCCGGCTCGACCTTCCCGCATCCTCCCTCTGGCATCGCGCGGACGCGCCGGCGAGGAAAGCGGCCAGCCGCGGGCGCGCCGGCGGACGGAGCTCCGCCTCAGGAGGCCGCGGCGACTTTCGCTTCCCGGCCAGGACTGCGGGCGAGCAGCGGGGGCTCCGCGGGCGACTCGCCCGCCCCTCCCCCAGCAGCGACGGACGCTCCTGTGCGGGGCGCGCGGCGCTTCCGCCGCGCTGCTCTTTGGGGCGCCCGCGCCCCCCCCCCCACGGCGCCCCAGGCGGAGGCGGCGCGGGCCGGGCCGGGCCGGGCGGTGCTGGGCGCTGAGCGCACGCACTGACCTCGGCGGCGCCGGGCGGAGGCGGCCGCGGTGCGCTCGTTGCGCCGGCTGCCGGCGCCGCGCCGAAGGCGCCCCCTCCTTCCCCTCCGCACAGACGCGCCGCCGAAGCCAATGGCGGCGGAGCCGAGGGCATGCCGGGCCCGCGGGCAGAGGCCGGCCCGGTGCTGGCCGCCCGAGGTGCCCGGGCGCGCGGGGCTGCCCGCGCCTGCTGCTCCTTCACTGGCTGGCTGCAGGCCAGCGCGCCGGAGCTGCTCGCCCTCGCCCCCGCGCGCCTCCGCTCTGCATCCTCGCAGCGTCCTCCAGGGGGGTGCGTGGCGGAGGCACACCTTCCCTTTCTCGCGGTGCAGGGTGGCGCGTGAGAAGGGCCCCTGGGCACGTACAGAGTGCACTTCCATCAACCCTGAACAGGCCCTTCCCTTCCGTCTTCCTCATCTGTGCCCTCCCCACCGCTCCAGCCTTCCTCACATAGCAGGCAACCATTCTCCTTCCCTTCACGCTTGAGATAAACTTCACCTGGTACTTAGTTGCTTCCCCCCGGCACACAACCCGGGTGGCTTAACTGCAGGCACTGGCAGCAGCTGTAGCCCAGACGCGACATACGGGATCCTGCCATGGACTCCCTGGCAGCCGTCTGTTGCACAGTGGCCTAGGCCTTTTCGAGGAGTTCCTAGGGGTACCAGGCCCTTGGCTTATGCAGCAGCATAGAAGTAGAATGAAATACAAAGCACTTGCCCCAAGCCAAAGCTTTTTGGTTGCTGGGGCGGCACTGAGGGCACTGCCTTCACTGGCAGAGCTGCATGATGTGGGAAGGCCTCAAACTTCAATGCAAAGCACACAATGCCAATGTCAGTTTCTTACCCGGGCTGCTTTGTGAAACCAGCAGCCCCCTTCAGCCTTGGCCAATGTTGCCTCTTGCAGCTCACGGCACAAGTTTAAACAGCAGCTGCTGACTGGCTACACCAATGTCTCAAGCCAGCAAGGAGGAAGGTGCTACACTGCCCTTGATCGAAGTGGAGGCCTCACCACAGGCAGATGGGTGCACCAACGGCGGTGTTTCAGAGATCCAGGAATTGCTGCATCAGATTTGCAAGAGATCTGAAATGGAAGTGGCTTGTGGGAGGACAACAGCAGCTACAGGATCAGGGTTTAGTTGCTGTGTAGCCGTGAACTGTGAGGCCAGGCCAAACTGATTGACTGATTGAATTTGTATGCCGTCCCATCGCCTAGCCTCGGGACGGCTTACATAAAATAAAATAAGACATAATACACATAAAATCCAGATCTACCCTAATTCTAAATGCTGAAGCCCACATCTTACACTAGGAAGATAAGCAGGCAGACCTTGGGCACATGTGTTCCTTCCTCCTCTGAGTACAGAAAAGTCAGTATGCTGATTTATGTCTAACCATCATGTGTGATTTCAAATGGCAGTTTCTTGCAAACCAGAAATCTAATTTTCCAACCTTGGAAGGGGCTGCATGCTCAATGTTTAAGATCTGGGGGCTCTGTTCTGTTAAACACAGAACTTGTTCCACTTGGCAGAGAAGTCTGGGTCTATAATGCCAGGTCATGCAGAAAGGAACTCTGCACTGGCTCACTGGTCCTCTGTCTCATATTCCAGGCTTCAGCTCTGGGAAGCCCTAGCTCAAATTAAGACCTGGGTAGCTTGTTATTTAAGAACTGTAACTTTCCAGTCAAACTGCTAGCTGTGGGCTACTAGAATAATACACACCTACGCTTATATAGCATATTATTTTTTACATGGATGTGGCAAAATCCTGAGGACAACCAAATTCAGTTCAATAAAGCTTGGGTATCTGCTTTATGAAACAGCTATTCCCACCATGCACAGTATGTGCCAAGCCACCCTGCACCCAACGTAGGGCAGAGGTCAAAAACAGTTTGCAGCTGGGCTAAGCCTCCCTATATGAAAACAGAAGTGTGTTGTGAGCCGTCCCGAGGCTGTGCAGCAATGGGGACGGCATCTAAAAACTTTAAATAGATAAATAAATATATGCATGCACATGCACACCGGCTGCGCTTACAGAATTGTAAGGCATCAGCTTGAAACCAAGTCCAGTTCTAGTATGTGAAAATCTTAAGATCCTTAAGATTTGAAAGCAGGACATACATATTTGATATTGTTGCTTAAGAATTATGATGTTCCTTAACCTGCACATCCATGTTTATTTCTGGACCCAAGCAAACTTGTACTAAGCATGTGAAACTACTTCCCAGCCCCCTCTACTCAGCTTACAGAGCACGGGGAAATGAGGCAAGCACTGCCTTACCCCTGCGAAAAAAGTCAACATGGTTCGGCTAATTAGGACCAAGTCTGCCAGTGGCTCGTTTCTGCGCCAAGCTTGACAGCCTGCCTCGCTATCCCGAATGGTGGTGGTGAAGAAAAAAGCAGCACAGATATGCCTTCAGCAAGTTTATGTTCATTTGTTGAATACAAAGATACATACAACAAATCTTGGTATTGTGTATTTGTACCACAGCATTAAAAAAAGTTGGAAGGTTTCCTTGAAACAGCAGAAACCGAGCGAAAAACCTGGAGAGAGGTGGTTTCCTCAGCGTCAGCCTCACCGTCATCATCCAAGCACAGAGCCGTGGTCCCCGCTTACATTCGCCTGCTGTGTGTCAGCTCTGCCAGGTTTCAGAAACGCCCTGATGGACGGCGCATGGATGCAGTAACCACCTCCAAGTAAGGGAAACAAAACCGAACCCCACAAGAAATGGAAAGGCGGATGGGCCAACCTGAGTGAGAAGTTACATTGCACAAAACGCACGACGGACCCTGTTTCCTGAAGTCTGCCTTCCTTTAGCACAGATTAGAAGGCTGCACCCAAGCATCTTCTTTCGAACAGCTCACAGTGTGACCCCTAACTAGAGAGCAGGCAGGCAATATGATCGACACTAAAGTGGGGGGAGAGGCAAAATTCTGAAAGCAAAGAGGTGGCTACTAGTACGTTAGAAAGCATGAAATTGTTCTTAAGATCAGGAAGCAGCACAAATTAAAATCATTAACATAAATCAGTCCCCAGACAGAGAAGTCAAAACCAACAAAAGCATTATTGAAGACACGACAGGGAGCCTCTTGCCACTGCCATGGGGCTCTGCAGAGAAGCGGGCCCCTCAAAAGTGCTGTTAAGACAAGGAAAAGGAGCCCAGCCACTGCTGACTAGCTCCAGGAAGCAGCTGATCTGCGCCAGGTTGCTTCCTGTCCCGGCCTTCCTGCCTGAAATGGCAAGTTAGGTTTCATCTCCCTGACAAAACTCGACACCCATGGCGGACTGAGTGCCAAGGTCCCACAAAAAGGCGCATAATACACTGGAGGTGTCACACGCACGCACACACCCCTCCAAGGACCCACCATGCACAAACACGTGCATGGGTGCGCCCCATGTGCAAAACACTTAAGAAAGTAAAGCCTTTGGGTTAAATCTGTAATACATACACTTGTGCGTGTGTGCATATGAGCATAGAGGCAACTGTGAAGTCATAAGGCTATTGAGACAGATTCCGGAAGTAGCAAAATCCTGAGAGGAAACCCCTCTCCCCAAACCACCAAGCTCGCAGCCTCAATCTTTTGTTCCCATGAAACCAAAACACACCTACTTTATTGTCCTCTTTCTAGGAAGAAAAAAATCTACACACTAAAAATAACCTACAACACAGCAAACTCCTGAGTCTCCTGGGCTAGTTTTAAACCACTGGATGTAGTTGTACTAAAAAAAAAAAGCCTCTTCAGGCAAGAGACGTAACCATTCCTCAAAGCCCCTCTGATTTCAAATTCCGTCTAAAGTCTGCATCCCTCATCTAGCACCCACAGTGAGCCGTAGCAGCCAGAGGGATGCTACTCGAGTGGAGTGGAGGAGCGGCAGGGTTGGGGTGGCAGGTTTCCCCCAGGCCCATCCTTCAGGAGGTCTTTTGGTGGAACTGCCACACATTTAGATGGTCACACAACACGTGCAGAAGTGGGTCAAACTTGTTTATAGATTTGTCTATAAAAAGTAGATGTTGCCTTGTACAACATCATGTCATAATAGGGAGGGAGGGAGGGAGGGAGGGAGGGAGGGAGAGAGAGAGGGAGAAAGAGAGAGAGAGAGAGAGTGAGAGAGAAAAAGAGAGACATAGAGAAAGCGACGAAACCATCTTTTTTTTTTTTTTTTTTTTTTTTTTTTTTTTTTTTTTTTTT